TTGAAGAGAGACCATCTTCTAAAGGCATCTGGTTCAAATTTTTCTTTTGGGACAACGTCATTGTTAAAAGGGTAGATTCCCGCTTTTGCATGGGAGTGCTCCCATATATTTTACTCTCTTACTCTTAGGTGGGTATATCGTGCTTACTCACTTTTAGCCCAAGTACATGCGTAGGAAGGTCAGATTTTATACCATGCCAGAGAGAATTGCGGGCTTGCCAGATTTAGGTCCGTATTTATCACAAAGGAAATTTAAACTATTTAGGATCGATTCCACCGTTGTGTTAAATGAAGTTTAAAATGACATTTTTACATTAACAATGTCACTTTAATCTCCGTTTAACACAACGGTGGAATCGGCTCTTAAATAGCAGATCAAAGTTATTCTGTCGACTTGGCAACGTTGGCATGGGAGTATGGAAGCATGGGAGTATGAGAGTGCTCCCATGAGTTAGAGAATAGGTATCCTGAACAGATTTTGTAGAGGTGGGTTCCACTTGCCCCGAAATTCCACTATCCCCGGTGTACCTTACTGATTTTGTCAACTAAAACAATTACATAGGAACCTAGGACAAACGTCAAATGCACAGCATGCTTGATTGAAAAATTATGTGTTTCTATTGATTAAAAATCTGTATCGTTGTGAAAAATCTGTATCATAATGGGTATCATTATAAAACGGATTATGGGCATATAAATGCATTATTATAATACGGGTGCAGAAAAAAAATATTATTGTATTCTAATATATTTTGTACCTTTATAAGAGGGATATCTCAAATAATGTTTACACTGTAGACATTAAAAAAAAAGCAAAAACTAAATGTTTTAACTTTTATATTTTTTTGCGTATCATCTTTATTTTTTGAATTATTTAAAAAAAAAGATTTTTAGAAACGTAACTTCAAAATGAAATTAAACTTTTTTTAAAATCTAAGAATTCTAAACCGTTTAAACTTTTACATTATTGTTAGTGTATAAATAAAGTACATTTTAGATGGATTACGTATAATTTTAGTTCTTGCGAGTAAGACATTGGCTTTATCGTTGAGTTTTCTTCGGGAAGAACGAGACATCCATTTTATTTTCATGATAACTTTGTCTATTTTGATGATAACTTTGTCAGTTTTCATACTTCAAAAGAAATTTATTTTTAATATATTTTAAAAGTTCTAACTTTTCCTCGAAAAATTTACCATTTTTCTGTTATTTAACTTGAAATATTCTAATTAAGTCCTTGGCGAATAGTTACCTTCAACGAGACACAACTCGGTTCATATTTAGGGCTGTCATACCTCCCGATTTAGGCGAAAGCCTCCCGATTTCTCACACTTTCTCCCGCTTTCTAAACTAAGCTATAAACCTCCCGATTTTTCAGAAATCTCCTAATTCACCCCGAATTTATATTGAATAGATATTAAAAAATTATCGGTCATTCGGCCCATATCTACAACCGTTGTAACCTCTACAAACGCCATCTTTTATATGCCTGGGGGCGATGGATTTGAAAACAAACCCTAAATTGGACGATTTCATATAAATTGCTGATGAGTTTGCCATTGGTGTAGATATTGATCTACTTTTAGAAGAAGTTGTCATCATATTTAGAAAACCCATCACTAAATTTTAAAGACATTAAAATTGACAGCAATTGGTTTATTATTTTAAGAGCCATACATCTCTAAATTTTTTCAAAATGTGCTCTTATGTAATTTATTTTCCTCTCTTAAACACGATGAGTAAGAGCATTTTTAGTCTATTGTTTGTAGCATGGAGGTAAGAAAAATTCTCTTTCTATAGAAACATTAGAATCTGAACTAATGATTAAATTTAATTATACTGAAACTTGCCAAGAATTTGCAAAAGAAAGGAAAAAGTCTTCTTGGTAGAGTAGGAAACAGTTCAAAATATTTGCAATTTTAGAATTAATTGGTTACAATAGGAATTTGACATTTTTTTGAGAAGTTTAACCATTTTAATGTAAGCATTTTTTGTTGATGTATGTATATTTTTTATATATTTATATTTTATTTATATATAACAGACATCCAAAGTTAGCGGTCAATATTACAGAATACCAAGTTGTGCGATTCTGTAAACACAAACAGAAGCGAAGCCATAAATTAATTTTCAATATTCTTTGTACTTACAGAGCTGGAATTATATTTTAGTTCAAGTGTGAACCCACCTATTATTTTTTTTAAGTGTTTGTTTATACAAATGTAGCAGAGACACAGATAGGACAGAACACCATCTCCATCTGCACAACCAGAGGATGTCCACAAGGAGGAGTTCTATCCCCACTAATGTGGAGCCTAACCGTACACGAACTTCTATGCAGATTGACTGACCCTGTGAAGGTTATGCCGACGACATAGTCATATTTACTAGTGGCAAGTTTAGTAATATCCTGTGTGATATAGTCCAACGAGGACTAGAACATACCAAAAGATGGTTTCGTGAAGTGGGATTTAGTATAAACCCTACAAAAACAACACTAGTAGCCTTTTCAAGGAAAAGAAAACCTAATCTCAAAACCGTTAAATTAGACGGGATAGATATAGAATAAAAAAATGAAGTCAAATATCTAGGCCCAACCCTGGACAACAAACTTCTCTGAAACACACATGAGAAGGAATTAGTAAATAGGGCCACAAAAGCCCTAATGATATGCAGAAACATTGCAGGCAAACGATAAGGATGTAACCCAAACATACTGCGATGGATGTATACTGCAATAGTGAGATCAATCATCATTTACAGGGCTCTAGCCTGGAGTAACTAGTTTAGCTACTATGAGAGCTAATATCTCAAAAGTACAAAGACTAGCCTGTGTTTGCATTACTGGTGCAATTAGAACCTGTCCTACGGCCGCAATGGAGGTAATCTAAAACCTCACCCCTCTACATTTGATGATAGAGAATGTGGCAAAAAGGACAAGATATAAAATGATCAGGACTTGCTTCAGGACTAAAGATACCTGAGACATGCCCCAGGATGAAATGCTAAAGAAGTACAGTTTTATGAAAAACTTCAAAACCAAAGAGCTGGGCTGCAAAAAAGAATGAAGCCAAGAATCCATCGCGCTTGCAACCGAAATACGTGTTATTCAGTGGTATACAGACGGTTCCAAAACCATAGAAGGATCTGGAATAGGAGTATATGGGCCGAGAACCAAGCACTCCCAAAACTTGGGAAAATACCCAAGCCTCTTCCAGAGAAACTATTATAGACAAGAGATTATCATCATGTACGATAGTCAAGCAGCCATCAAAGCGCTGAGCTCTTACGTAATCAGCTCAAAAATGGTCTGGAGATGTCTAGAACAATTGAATGAGCTAGGCGAGAAACATAGTATTACTCTCACATGGGCCCCGGGACATAACGGGGTACAGGGTAACGAGACTGCAGATAGTCTTGCAAGGAACGGGGCTTAAACGCCCTTTGTAGGACCTGAGCCGTTCTGCGGTATCAGCAGTAACATAATATTAGGAGAGATTAAAAAAGAATTGGGCAGTAGAAGAACCGATAATTGGAGCAATCTCTTGGGGCTGAGACAGGACAAGATACTTCTGGGTGAATGTAACCAGAAAAGATCGGAAGCCTGCATCTGCCTGAGCAAGTACAGGCTACGTATTGTAACAGGGATTCTTACCGGGCATTGGCGACTAAAAGGACACTTAAGTAAACTGAGAGTAGTAGAGGATAGTGAGTGCAGATTCTGTGAGGAAGAGAACAAAACCTCCATTCACATCCTAACTGAATGTGTAGCACTCTAGAATCCAAGGGCACTATATCTAGGAGGATATCAAATAGAAAAGTGAGATTTACCTTACTTGAAGCCTCTTCAAATCCTACACTTCCTTGAGAAAATAGGATTGGAAGGGTCGTTATAGGCATTGAGATATTTCCTTAGTGCATTGGCGACAGAAGTGGGCACAATAGATCTTTTAGGTCGCAGTGTATTAACACCCAATTCCCAACATAACATTATACAAATGTACAATTGTTACATGAAGATGGTTAAAAATGATACCAAAATTAAGAATAGGTACTTGTATGTTGACTTGTTGAAAATGTTTTATTAATCGGGCATTGAAATTTGTTTTTTTTTTTGATGCTACAATAATATCTTTGTATATTTAGTAGGTATTTGTTTAAAATTTTTTCAAAAATGTAAACCTCCCGCTTTTCATTTCTGAAAATCTGGCAGCCCTATTCATATTGCATCTACGGAAATGAAAAAAATACCAATCGATTCATTTTTTAAAAAACTTTAATCTGTTTATTATGATTTTGTTAATGAAGCTTAAAGTTTTTAAATTAACCGTGAAAGTCTCTGTAAAATATGCAGTTTTTGAATGAAAAATCAACATTTTCAATCGAAAATAACTCGACAAAACTTCAATTAATAATTTTTTCTTAAATTATTAAATTATTTTATTATTATTTCATCGATTTATTTAGTTTCTTTTCTTTTTTTGGGTTAAATAATTTCCTCCACCGTTAAGGAATAGCATCCACCCCCGTGGTGAAAGCGTATTTCGGCACTATAACTTTTTTTCATTGCGGCATTCACTCACTGTCAATGTCAATTGGTTTAGCCCTAAGAATTCGGAAAGAAAAACCGTCAAACTATGAACTACTCCCGAGAATTAGTAGGGTACATTTTTCAACACCTTTAAATATTTCTCTAAAATCATCTTCAAAAATAAAACATTTTGTGCAATAATAATAAATACAACGTCACTCACGTTATAATATTAGTTATAACAAACACAATTTTCATTCTAAATTTAACAAATTTTGACAAATTAATCCTTATTTTTGTATAAACTGTATAAATCAAAATAAATATTGAATATGGGGTTTTGCGTGTGGAAAGTCCTTTAGTTTATTAAAAATCCATATTACAGAATTGATAAGATATCTTCTTATTGTTTTTCAAACAGTTGATTGTTCTTTAACACAGACGTGATTGTAGTTTAAGTGAATTGAAAAATGGATCACTGCCAAAGAGTGAAAAGAAACACGAACCCCAAAGAGACTGCTAACATATTTTCTTTGCTGAGTTTTGCGTAAGTTAAATTTTTTTACTATTAAAATTATTCGCAAGAAAAATATTTTGTGAATATTAATTAATTATCTAAAATTGATTGCTAAATTACATAAATAATAATTGAAAATAATGTATTGTCACTCTAAATTGATTTTTATTAATGTGATATTTTATAGGTTTATTGGGTCAATAATTTTCGAGACTATTTATAATCGCATAAGCTAATGCACGAAATATGTTGTCAAAAATTAATTACATCGGTTCCAAATCATTCAAAAACACGTTAAGTGCATTATTTTATTTTATTATCAATAGTCCCGATACCAAAAGTGGTATTGAATAGATTACGATCACGATTTAGTAAATATGATAGCTTAATAATTTACAATTACAGTATCTACAAAAACAATAACATAATATGACAGACTTGCCTACTATAATCATTATAACTGAATAAAGAAATTATTCAAAGAATTCGAAGTTAAATTACATAGAATATTATTAATATTATTTGACAAAACGATTGAAAAATATGCTTTCCGGAACATATGTAATGCTTTGAAAATTAAAATTTTTTGTGACCGCTAAAACCAAAAAACTATCATTTAAATCATATTCCACAATAGTCAGGATTTATCTTTACTATTTTAATTTTTTTTTTGTATCCTTGTTATTATTTATTTTTTTCACCTAACCAACATCAAAGTATACAAGTAAATTTTACGCATCTACAATCTACATATTCCATTCGAGATTGGAAACGGGAATGTCTATTTCTAACTGACGAGGTCTAATAATAACAAAAATCTGATGTGTCCAACACATGACTTTCCTATCTAGTTATTACAGGCTTGTTCCGGTTATTTTGTACAACCTATTGCAGCACCTCTATAAATGTTTAGAGGATAAACTAAATATATACATTTTCCACATACATCTACCTCGAAACATTTTTCTATAGATATTCATTGAAAACGAAAATACTGAAAAATTTAAATTTAGCACTTTACCTACAATTTTTTTATAACGGTCAATTTTAGAAAAATCATGTATAAACAAAAATTATAGAGATCGATATCGCAAACAATTTTCATAAAAATCAGAATTTTCCACGTTTTGTCAAATATCTCGAATACGGACCATTTCAGGAAATTTTGACATAAAGCAAAAATAATAGATAATAATATTAGAAGTAACTTTTATTTGAACAATTTTCTTCTCCAAACATAAATAACAGATATATTCCATAAAATATAAAAACGACCTCCCATAAAGTACCCCCCCAGATGTTCCGACTTTGTCCAAAATCTAATCATTTCACGTCAGGCCGAAATAAAACTTAAGTTTAATATTTAATGTTTTTTTCTTTATCCGTTTTTGAGTTTTCTTCAAATTTCAAAATTTACACATTTTCTCAAATATCTCGAATAATTATAGAGAATTATATTACAAACAACTTTTATTTAAACAATTTTTATAAAAAAATATTTTTTTACATTTTGTCAAATTTCTCGAATACGGACCATTTTTTGTATAGAACAAAAATTATAGATAATAATATGAGAAGTAACTTTTATTTGAAGAATTTTCTTCCCCAAACGTAAATAACAGATATATTCCATAAAATATAAATTGACCACCTATAAAGTACCCTCCCAGATGTTCCGACTCTGCTCAAAATCTACACTCACACACACAGACACACAGACATACAGACATCATCGCGAAAATAGTCAAAACGGATTCAGGGGACCTCAAAACGTAAAAATCCGTCGAAAACTCGAGGTCGAAAAAAATCATGATTCCTATACTTTCCTTATATCTGTATACAGATAGGAAAGTAAAAAGGATCTGATTAGTAAGCAAAATTAAAGCTAGTGTATTAAAAGTCATTTTCTATGGTTGCTGTTTTGCTTTGAATATAATCCAATCTTGTTGTAGTTTTAGTTGTTTTTGGGAGGTTTGTGTTACATGGTTATGAGTTTGAGATTTTCATGTTGTCGTTATTTTACATAATTTCTTATTTGTATCGTATTATTCTTATACGAAACTATTTATTTATAATATTTGAACAACTTTATTGTAGACTAATGTTCATATATTTATTTTTACTAATTCTCTATTGTAGTTTATGTTTGAGACTAACAGATAATTTTCTATGAACTGTAAATTTTTAAAAAAACTTTGTAGACGTTTATAATACATTATCAATATATCTTTTTGGACTAATTTTATAAGGCTAAATGCATTCAGTAATTATTATATTTTGTCATCTGTTATTTTTTGCAGAATTAATATGAATATAACCTTGACATGATTTAATATTAATATTTAAAACTTATTTTGATAGGAATCATTTGTCAAAATTTGTTATGTATTTTTTTTTATTTTGTAGATATATAGGTGACATTTTAAAAAAAGGTTTCAAAAAAGACTTAGAGGAAGATGATCTTTATGAAGTTATCCGATGCTGCAACTCGACCAGGTGTGGAGGAAAGCTGGAAAAATGCTGGGACAAAGAAAAAGAAAGAAAACAAAATAAAGGAAAACCACTTTCAATAAGTAAAATACTTTGGAAGAGATGGGGTAAAAGATATATTCTTTTCGGATTTACAGAGTTTACCTGGCAATCTATAAACAAGTAAATAAAATATTGTTCTGAATAGAAACACAAATCAAATAATATTAGGCATGGAACTGTGTAAATTTCTTAAAGAAGTTATTGTAAAAATTATCGGGTTGCAAAATTAATGTTTACATGATGTACCCAGGTTTTGTTTATTAGCAGTTATCATGGTTTTAACTTGTTTTTAGTGTTATTAATAGTCTCAGTAGCAAACATATTTGCTATATTACACTTTATTTTAATTACCACGTTTAATATTCAGACTGATAATTCAATTTTAATTAATAATAATTATTTAAAATATCTACAGTAACTGGTAACGTCAAAGCTGAAAATTATAACTTTTTGTATGTATTTCTCATTTTCAAATCATGCTTTTTTAGTTGTTTATCTTCTTTAGTTAAAAACCCTGATCAATTCCTTTACATGTTGATAATAATATTCTATTTTTAGTTTACTTAAACCATACGCTCTGAGTAACCTGATAGCGTATTTCGTACCTGGTTCCACTATATCAAGAAATGAAGCATATTTTTACGCTGTCATCTTAATCCTATTGGACATTACTAATACAATATTCATGCATAACTATATTCTGTGGGGTCAAATTTTTGGGACTGAGATTAAAACAGCCTTTTCGTCGCTACTTTATAGGAAAGCTCTAAGACTAGCTCCTGGTTCAGATGTTTCTTTAGGAAATATTGTGACGTTAATTACAAAAGACGTAATGTCTTTTAGATTATCGATATGGGTATTCAATGATTGCTGGATTATTATAATGCAAGTGATAATTATTAGTACTGTGCTTTATATTAGAATCGGAATTGCCTCTTTTGCTGGTATTGGAATTATGATTCTTGCTCTTCCAATACAAGGTAAGATTTGTCTTTAGCATATACGAATTTTTGATCTCACAACGGTTAAACTACCACGTTAGCAACCTTAGTTGCCTAGACATTTGTTCATTTGTATATTATTACTATTATTGTGACTTTTTTTATATACATATTTTATAATTGATTTTTTAAATGTTATTAAATGTTATTTTTTTTTAGTATATATTACTAAATGGGTAACTAGACTTAGATTAGATACAAGCAAAAAAACTGACGAAAGATTGCAGTTAACACAAGAAATTTTATCGACTATGAGGATTATCAAAATGTACACATGGGAAGAATTTTTTACTAAAAAAATCAATAATGCCAGAAGGTAATTAAATAAAATGTTTTTTAAGAAGGAACATTGACCAATTTTGTTAATTTTTAGACACTTTCTAGCTCATTTTATTGATTCCTATGTCAGGAATTTAAATTTTATTATCCTTTTAACTAGATTGTATCACTTTATTAGATATTCCTCGCCATTTGTATACGAAGTATGCCTAATTTGTACAATATACATGATATTCAAATATGAACGGGTTCTTTGGCAGATATTCATCTGCAAAATAAATAACCTACAAGATGCAATATTCAAAAAGATTTCGTTTGTATATGTGTAACATGAAGTGGTCTGTGAGTGTGCCAAATACTATTGTTGTTGCCGGTTTAGTTTTAACAAGTCTTCTAGAATCAGAAAAGGTTTCCTTCATACCCTCTTCGTTTACTTCTTTTCATTCTATTTCAATTACATTCTAATCTATTATGTCCTCACTCCCAAATTATATAATTTATAGCCAGGATATTAAGGCTTGTAAATAGTTTTTATTCTAGATGGTTTTCGTTAATCAATTGTTTCTAAAGAATTGATTAAAGAGTGACTTTCAGTGGTCTTATATACGTACGCATGAGTTAAGTTTTAACTGTTACTTGTATTTTATTTTTAGGAAAGAAGTAATAAAACTAGTTGTGGGATACTATCTAAAGATAGTCACTGTCTTAATAGGACTCTTATTTTCAAAACTAGGATTTTTCCTATTAATTATGGCATGTATATGGACAGGCATTACGACTGATACAACTATTATCATATTTGCTGTTGCCACATTTAAAGATCTCGAACACTGGCTTAGTGAGGCCTTACCATACACAATGGGACAATTAGGAGAATTTTTTTCTGCTTACCAAAGAATTATCAAAACTTTAGAAGCAGAAGAATTGGATCCTGAACGACAATTGGACCAACCAACAAATGAACCTTTAATTGAACTTAAAAATGCATCAGTGAGGATCAAAGATCAAAATATTTTAAGCAATATATCATTTAAAATCACGTCAGGATTAACTCTAATTACCGGAACAGTAGGATCGGGGAAAACATCTTTATTTAAAGCTATTTTGCAAGATTATCCATTATCTGCTGGTTCATTAGTGACAGATGGAAGAATAGCATATGCCTCTCAAGATCCTTGGCTGTTTCCTTCTTCTATTAAACAGAATATCTTATTTGGAGAAGCATTTAATGAAAAAAGGTATATAATATTTGAATTCAAGTTAAAAGTACTGATACTTTATTTGAATTTTTAGGTACAACGAAGTAATAAGGGTTTGTGCCTTATTATTCGATTTTAACCAATTAGAAAATGGCGATGAAACGATTGTAACAGATCGAGGATTAAACTTAAGCAAAGGCCAACAATCAAGAATAAATCTCGCTAGAGCTGTATATCGGGAAAGTGAAATTTATTTGCTAGACGATTGCCTAACAGCTTTAGATGCAGCTGTTCAAGACTACATTTTTACAGAATGCATTCAAACTTTCCTAAAAGAAAAGATCTGCATCCTTATAAGTCAAACTGCCAGTCATATTGGGGAAGCTGACAACGTTATAATTATGGACAAAGGCTTTATTAAAGATATTGGAAAACCCGACGAACACATCTTCCAAGAAGTTAAGGAATTGGTGGTTGAAGATGATGATTTAGAAAAAGAAGTAATTGTTGATGAAAAGGAAATTAATGAAAAAACAAAATTGACCGAAACAGAGCAATTGACATCTAAAAAAAAAGTTTACAGCGAAGTTAAGAAAGAAGGTTCAATTGATTTTATAGTATATAAAAAATATTTTATGTATGGAGGAGGAATTATGGTGGTTTTGTTGATTTTTTTTATGGGAGGTGGTACTCAGTTTACTGCAAGTTATTCCGATAAACTTTTGACCAATTGGTAATCTTACTCAACTAATTTCTTATGTTATTTATATAAAACTGTTTTTCTTTCTAGGATAGACATTAAACAAACTGTTATAAATATAGAAGCGAATGTAACATCCAATAATTCCTTTAATAATAATTTGGAAGTAACTGTAAAAGAAGAAAATTTTATTTTCAGAAAATATACAATATTCTTATTCGTTTCAATCATTTTGGAACTAGTCAAACATTACGCATTGTTGGATTTCAGTCGAAGAGCTTCAATTAATATACACAAAGCCATGATTAAAAAAATAATGAACGGCGTCATGCATTTCTTTGACACCCATTTAATTGGTAATGTTTTGAATAGGTTTTCTCAAGATATGGTGAATACAGATGAAAACTTACCATTTGTTGTCGAAGAATGTTTCAGTGTAAGTAAATAATTTAAATATTCAGTGTTAAAAAATTATCCAAATTATTGGGATATTCCTCGTTGAAAAATTGATAAGCTATTTCTAGATTTGAATGCTTACAATAAAGAAACCCTTAAATATTTTATTAAACTTATTTTTAGCTGTAGTTTTCAAAATCTTTCAACTTTTTCTTGCCTTCTACATAAAATTTTATAAAAAGAATTTTTTTATATGTAGTCTTAATTTAATAAAATTAAAATAAAAATTATTTGACATAGTTTATTTTTAATTAACTTTTTTTCATTTCAGGTATTTTTCAACGTTGCGGGTGGAATACTACTAATAATATCAATTAATTTAACTTTTATTATTTACGTAGTGTTTATGTGTTCTATACTAATTCTAGTAAGATGGTACTATCTACCTTCAGGACGAAGCTTAAAGCGTTTAGAAGCATCAAGTATGTATATTCAAGTAACAGGGCCTAATAATATTTTATTTTTTTAATATAACTATGTAGTTGCATTGATCATTTATGATATTATAACTAATATTGGTCTATGTCAAAAGTCCGTATACTTGGCGCCACAACATTGCAAAAATAGTTCAGAAATGTGTGAAAGGAGTTCCCATTATTGTCCATGAAATAATTTTTTGTCCACCCCCTGTTTTTAAAATATATCGTAAAGAATTTTTGCGGGCCAACTTCCAAACAAAAGTAAACATTTTGATAGTTTAATTGTATAGATTAACAGCATTTCATTTGCAGTATGTACGTATTAAAAAGAAGGTTCTTCAGATTAAGGGTGAAATGATACAACATTCAGATACACACAAGCAAATGTTATCAACTTTTAATGATAAAATAACCTCAAAAATGCATACAATATTACCCCTGGCCAAGTACTTACGTGACAAGTCAACAAAGAACACCAAAACAAACTAATATTAACTCAACAATATTCTTAAAACTAATATTAATTGTTAATTTTCTAAACAAGGTTTTAGTTTTACACGAAACAAAACGAAAATCGACATAACCCTTAGATTAAAGACTAACGGCCATATTCACCATTCTCCTGTTAATAGTTATCAGAGAGTTAACTACATAACTGACTGTTAAATTGACAATATTGTATTCACCATTACAAAATACGACTAACAATCTGTTAAAGGCGTTGTTAATGTAACAAACCAAATTTGGCCTGTTAATTTTATTTATCAGACTATTTTAATTTTACTTGTTTATTTTGAAGGGCCATATAAGGTTTTATAGGATATGAACAGTAATAAATACGTAACAGACTGATTTCTTACTGAAACTTGTAAATAGATGGTACATAGATGGTGCATAGCAAATTCTGTTAACACACTGTTATTTTTTATACTACTGTTAGATAACAGAGGACTTAGCTGGACAATGGTGCATATGGCCGTAAGACATAACCAAAAGAAAAGCCAACCTAAGCCGGTCACCGTCACCAACCAGTCTCGATCTCGCACACGCGCACATCCACTCCCTTCCAATTCCAAGGTGTAGGCAAACTGCACCTAAACGCGGTGTAGGGTGGTCTGCACAAGTATGCATTATGTAATCGTTCGTTTGCCCATGTTTGCCCATTTTTTAATTTTTCCAATTTGCATCCCTTTCTTTGAATAAAATTCAAATTAAAATAGTATCGAAGGGTGGGTGGCTCAGTGGTAGAGTCTCTGCCTGTGGATCCAAGGGTCCCAGGTTCGAATCCCACCGTTGGCCGGGGTTTTTTTACTTAATTTAATTATTTAAAATTAATTCTGATGCCTTGGTAGGATTCTCCACTCGACCATTCACTGTTGGGTTATAATTAAAAATTATGTTCCTAAAGTGGCACTGGGAAACATTAACAAAGCCTACACAGAACACGAGGCTAATGACCTTAGTAGTCGATGCCGATGACACCAAATAAAAAAAAAGTATCGGATGACAATTTCATACAACCGTGAACTTGGCACCGTAACATTGCAAAAATGGCACAAAAATGTGTAGGAGTATTACTCATGGTTTGTCAACGTTTGCCCATCAATTGGTTTTTTCGAAACAAAAAAAAACATTTCAATGTTTTCCTCTTTTTTCTTATTAGAAATAAACACATATGCATTATTGTCGTAGTTTTATCCACCTACGATTTATTAAAAAATGGGCAATTCTCAGAATTCATTCCTTAGGACCGATTCCACCGTTGTGTTAAACGGAGATTAAAATGACGTTGTTAATGTAAAAATTGCTTAAAAAAAAAATATTTTATTTTCAGCCGTGGGGATTAGAACCCACGATCGGTGAGTCTGGCAATCGGAAACCCGCGCATTAGACCGCTCGGCCACGAACAAACTTGACTTAGTGGGATATACTGACAGTAATAAGCCACTTGAGTCCAAAGAAGAGTTACAAACATACATACAGGTGAAGCTAATATAAGCGTGTTAAAAATGTAATTTTAAACTTCGTTTAACACAACGGTGGAATCGGTCCTTAGTGGTTTACAATTAGTTTTTTATTATGTCGATGTTTGAATAGCTCAGCCGAACAACGTTGCACGCTACAATTTTTGTAAGGCTGAGATTTTCGTAGAACAACGTTGCAAACGACATTCTCTACCACTTACCTACTATATTTCTAGTTTGAAAATTTTTAAGTTGGCAGTACTTACAGGCAGTTGAAAGCGCGGGAACATAGATTAAGTGAAAGTGAATAGATGGGAAACTTCATGTTAAAATTCTGAGTCGATGTGCTGCCACCTATCAAATTGGAGTGGTACTAAAATTCAATATGGCCGCCACGAGCGGGCTTTTCGAACATGAAAAAAATAAAAAAAAATTGGAAAAATATTTGACTAGTTTCAAATCATAAAACAACCATACTGACTCTTTTATATAATTAAATATTTATAAAACAAACCTATCAAAAATGTTTTCTGTAACAAAATCGGCATATATAAGTCCTCAAGCCCTTTAAAAAGTTTTGTGACTTGGAGTGGCAAATAAGTTTAAAAACTTGAAGTTGAAGCATCATCCTTTTGGTTTCTTACTATCAAGGCGAATTTAAGTGTGGATAAAATTTGCCATGCGTTTATTAAGTTGACTTGTTAGGTTGAGGATCATTTCTTCATCCGATAATTGTTTTATTGATTTATTTGTACAGCACTTGTAGTTATCAAATACTTATTAATCATCTGGGCTCAACTTTCGTTTAGCCGAAATCTGTTATGCAAAAACTGTTGTCATAATAACAATTGTGATGGTTATGAGTAAACAAAAACCCTTATCTTATGGTGAGTAAATGCGTAGTTGCCAAGTTGTAGATGATTACGGTTTTTATTTAATTTCATTTAACTGAAATAAGTTATGCAAAAAATGTTGCCATGGGCACGCTTGTCATGTTACCGACTAAACCACATACTTTGATTACTATACGGGGCAAGAGAGAGGTCCGACACGCCCAACATAGGGCGCGGCCATTTTGAACCCTATGACACAGTTTATAGCTAAAGAATCAGATCGCTCACTCTGCGTCGGCACTTTTTATCTCAAGGTTCCAGTTTATACACTGCGCAACTCAGATAATACAATATATGACAACCGCCTATAATAAAACAGCAGTCTTCTGCGTATCCTGAATTTGTATCCCTGGAGTGGATGTTATTTTGGAACTTTTAACTGGTCCAAGTGAGCTAACTGACTCTTCAACTGGTCCGAGTCCAAAAATAATATTCACTGACACTGACAGCAGCAAGCAAAATATTAGGTGCGTTTTAATCATCTGCTTTTGCTTCCGGAATTGTCGGTTTAGTCGTTTTAACCTGTCAGATTAAAACAAAAAAACCGACAATTCCGAAGCAGAAGCGGATGATTAAAACGCACCTATTAATGATATTGCGCCAAGATGTAGGCAACACGTAATAAGGGTTCAAAATGGCGGAGTTTTCTATCTCCTTTTAAAAGGCACTCAGAAAGCTGCGCAGTGCGACCATTCTCCGTATAGTAAAAGAAAATCAAATTATGTGGACTAAACAAATACCCAAATCTCGTGGTGGGGAAATGCGTAGTTGCCAAGTTATAGATCATTTAATGTTCACTTTAATTTAGCCGAAATCAGTTACGGAAAAACTGTTTTCATGGAAACGCTTATTATGCTAACGACTAAACAAAAACCCAAATCTCGTGGTGAGGAAATGCGTAATGCCAAGTAATGGTTAGTTGGTGGGTGGAACGAGCGCAGCGTTATCTTATGATGTAGATGGAAAAAGAGCGCGCCCGGCCGACGTTTCGAAATTGGCGCGCGCGAATTTCGAAACGTCGGCCGGGCGCGCTCGCTTCGGTCGCTTTCTTCTGTAGTAGATAAGAGGTGGGTGGAAGGAGCGTAGCGTGATCTTACGATGTAGGTGGAAAAAGGGCGCACCCGGCCGACGTTTCGAAATTCACGTGCGCGAATTTCGAAACGTCGGCCGGGTGCGCTCGCTTCGCTCGCTTTCCTCTGTAGTAGTTAGGTTGTGGGTGGGAGGAGCGTAGCGTGATCTTATAGAGAAACTGTTGCCATGGAAATGTTTGTCATGCTAATGACTAAACAAATCCCGTAGTGAGAAAATGCTTTATTATCACTTTAGTTTAGATTAGGATATTGTGTTAAGAATTACTCTAAATATAAGGGATAACTACGCATTTCCTCCACTAGATTTAGGTTTTTGTTTAGTTGATAGACGACATCTCCATAACCGATTTCAGCTAAAATAAAGTGAAAATTAAATGACCTGTAACTTGCCAACTATGCATTTTCTTACCACAGGATTTGGGTTTTTTTTTAGTCGTTACCATGACAAGTGTCTCTATAGCAAGAGTATATCTGTAACTAATTACAGCTAAATTAAATCATCTGTAAATTGGCAACCACGCATTTCCTCACCATGGGATTTGGCTTTTTGTTTAGTCGTTACTAGGTCAAGCGTTCCCACGGCAACAGGTTTACCATAACTGATTTCGTCTAAACTAAAGTGAACATTAAATAATCTATAACTTGGCAAATATGCATTTCCTCACGACGAGATTTGGGTTTTTGTTTACTGGTTACCACGGCAACAATTTTTACGTAACTGATTTCGGCTAAACGAAAGTTGACCCATCACCTAGACTGTGATAAATGAATTTAACTTCTGAGCTTAAATTAAACTTACACACGTTTGGACCCTTGAAGATTTTGGGGTATAACAAACCAATTATTTTAACACTGAATCAAAAACAAGTTTGTAAATATTCTTACCATTGGTGTCAGTGCAAGATGCATTTTTCTTAAGACACTTATTACAAATAGTTTGGTTATTTTTAATATGAAGACCGCATCTTTAATATGTGGTATAAATTGCATCACTACCAATATTTGGGAGTGCTTTATTGTTCGTTGCTGTAATCCATCTTCCCATATTTTGAAAACAGGCTTAAATGCTTAAAATTGGAAGGTGTTAAAAAATAAATCTAGATGAATCAAAATCCAATACACCTTCAAATGCAACAACCATTTTAATTTTTCTAAGTTTGAAGTTTTGACGAGCTGACAACTGACATGACATTTCGATACGAGCACCATCCCGTTAATTGGAGTGGTACTAAATTACCGTCCTCTTGTTTTTCCATTTGAGTTACCAGCCCCTGCGCGGGAATCAGGCTGGCGCAGCCAGAACAACGTAGCAAGTGACGCAATGACAGAGAAGAAGCATATTACTCTCCCGGCAGTTCCGGCGTCCAAAAAGACTAAATAATGGCAGAAAAAGAAAAGATAATTTGTGTAATTGGAAATATGAGTGTCAAAAGAAGGCGAGAGATGCTGGACAACCGTACATTTCAAAAAGAAAGCGGCTTATTCCAGGAAAACTTCCACCACAAGAGGTAAGAAGAATTACGTTGCAAACGACACATTTATTTTAACTTCATTGCTTACGACAAAAAAGTATTTTTTTGCATCTATAGTTATATTGAACATCCAAAATTTTAGCAATCATGTTTTGTACTATACTATCTTTCCTTTAGGCTTATTTAATACAAGTATTTATCTCTTTTACTTAAGTAAGTTTAGTCTATTACTAGAACTTACTGTAGATCTAAGGAAAATCTTTCTGCATAGTTTAAGTATCAAATTGTATTTTAATTTTGACGCTATTCATGTGTATGCATTGTACTGAATATGGAATAAATTGTTTTGAAATTGAAATAAAAAAAGTATACTATCATGAGTTGCTTGGTTTTCAGGGTAGAGTTTGCAACTGCAACCATAAATTTGAACTAGTGACCTATGAAGAAGAGCTCAAGATGTTCACGGATTTTCATTTTCAACGGACAGGCATCGCTTATTGCTTCCTGCATCAAGGTTGTAGACATAGATCACCGTCGAGTGAGTGAAGACTTGTCTACTAGACATTGTACAATAGAATATTAGTATCCTTAAAAAATATAAATCTTCGCATTTGTGCTAGGTACTTAATGTTATACGACGGTTTCAGATTCTTGTCGATAAAATCAATTTCCACAAGCCTCTGATAGACAGCAGAAGCCTGCATGGCAATCAAGTTAGGCTTCCTGATGAAGAAACAAGAGAACCGATAAGGACTCACATTTCTTCTTTTCCTCGTCAGAAAAACCACTGTTCAAGGAATAAAAGCAAAAAAGGAATGCTTAAGTCCCGATCTGAGTATTAGAAAAATGTGGAAGTTATTTTGCAATAAGTAACCTGAGAGTTCTGCAAAGCTTCACGTTTACCGTGATATTTTTAATAGTGAACTCAAGCTCAGGTTTGACCTACCTAGGTCAGACACATGTGGTTATTGTGAGAAACTCCATGTTCAGCTCATTGTAGCTGTCGATGAACATACCAGACTAAAAATCGAAACTGATAGCAAATTCCACCACATGCTATAAGCCTTCAGCAAATGATAAGGAGGATTCCATGCTGAACTCTGAACATATATTTTTGTGTGTAGATCTCCAGCAAGTTTTATTTTGTATAAATCTCATGCACAGTAATGTCTTTTATCAGAGGTAACTCTCATGTTACAATTTGGTTATTTGTAGGTAAGGCTTACATGTTCTTTTGAAATGAGACCACTGGAAAGCGTGATTCAACTGAAGTAGCATCTAGCATCCTTAAATATGTTGAGCTTAACTTTAAAAAATTGAGACCAAGTCAAGAAAAAACTCTAAAGTTGTGGTCTGATAGGCGTGTAGGCCAAAATAACAACTAGCGAATGGGTTCTTTACTACTGTGGATCAGAAGTTCATAACAATGGGACACAGTTTCCTTCCCAGTGATAGGAATTTTGCTATTATTGAAAGAGCTAAAAAATCCAAAAAAGTATACGTCCCACACCAATGGGTTGAGATAATCGCAAATTCGAAAAATTCACAAAATCCACCAAATTCTTGACATAGTTTTGGACTCCCTGGAAACGCCTAAGTTTAGTATCATAAACTATGCATGGTTTCAGATAAATAAGGATGATCTTATTACACTAAGAAGGAGAACACTCCACAATCCTTCAGCCGTGGAACACTCACAACTTAGCCAAAAAAACTGCAAGGACGATCAAACAGAAGACGCACTTCTACATGTGTTCACAGTCTCCCACCTTTGTATGCCGTGACATTGGTGACATTACTGATTAAAGCGGCTAAAAAAAGGATCTTATGGACATATGTCATTATATGCCACAGGAATATGTCAACTTCTACGAGGAAATGATAGTAGTACGTGTTTGAATTTACTCATGGAAAAAAAGTAACGTACAACTCATATAAAATGTTTTTTATAAAAATAATGTTTGAATTTACTTATGGAAAAATAATGTACACCTCAATTAAAATGTTTTTTATCAATAAAGTTTGTATTTTTGATATAAAGTTTTTTATTAAACCAATACCTAATTATTAACTTAGCAATATATACATAGTAAAAGAATAACGTTGCAAGCGTCACTTGCAACATTGTTCTGTCTGATAAATCGTTTAAAATGATAATATTTTAACAATGAAAAAGTATTTTTGATGGAAATGAACAGTTTACAAAAACAATATTTATCCTAAAGCATTATTCATCAATAAAATCAGTTTTTTATGTTCCCCGAAAATTTATTTTTGCATTTATTTTGGCTATTCAATGGATGGGCAAACATGGACAACCTTCCTATAAATGTTCGTACCATTTTTGCAATGTTGTGATGCCAAGTTCGAAGAAAGGCTTGCGAATTGGAAAAACTAAAAAATGGGCAAACATGTGCCGAATGATTACCTAATGCACTCATCATATTTAATTTTTGTGTTTTTATCTTAAATTTTTTTTTTTTAATAATTGATGGGCAAATGTGGGCAAACGTGAAAAAAGAAACTGCTATGGAATTAAACTATCAAAATGTTTACTTTTGTTTGGGAGTTGGCCTGCAAAAATTCGTTTCGATATATTTTGAAAACAGAGGGTGGGCAAAAAAAGTTGTTTCATGGGCAATAATGGATAATAATGGGCAAAGGATGGGCAATTCTCACACACATTTTTTCACCATTTTTGCAATGCTGTAGTGTCAAGTTCACGGACCTCTATGTCAAAGCCATTAAAAATAAATAAAAAAATAATAAAAAATGATTTATTTTATTTTAGCAAGAAGTCCAATGATCGGTCACCTGAATGCTACGTTGGAAGGTTTAACTACAATTAGATCATGTAACGTGGAGCATCTTCTGATACAAGAATTCGATAAACATCAAGATTTGTACTCTTCGGCATATCTGATGTCTCTTTCAACAATGCGTGGTATAGGATTTTTCATGAGTTTGATCTCTTCCTCATTTCTTGTTGTTGTATTGGCAAAATTTATGCTTTTCGATTCAGGTAAGTTTAAAATTATAACATTAAATTTATTTCGTTTTTATTCATTCAATTATAATAAAGGTTAGACAGATATGGTTCTCGTATAATGTATTTGCTACCATATAACTGGTTAGTTGTTAGCTAATATATAATATATTTTTCTACGACCGTGTATTTTTACCCACTTTCCCGCGCGCATTTTAGTTTTGAAAGTGTCACTTTCCCGCACTAGTGCGGGAAAAAATCACTTTCTCGCACTAGTGCGGGAAAGTAAAATTATAAATATTTGGCCTTACCTATTGTATAGTTTTTTTTACCTCGGATGTTATAACTATTGTTACAATAGGTAATTTAGTATTTTCCAACTATTCCATTTATTAAAATTTACTTTTTTTCTTGCTTTTTGTTATAATTTTAATTTTTTGGAAAACTTGAATAATAGAGATATTTTTATATACCTTCTGTATATTTTTAAAAGTCAGACTAGGCTGTGACATGTATGGCTTGATATGGTTGCTATATGGTAACCAAGGCGTGTTATTGTTACAAAAACATCAAAGTTGTTTGTTGAAGCGTCAACTGAATTAAAATAAATTAAAGAAATAATGGATTCATCGGATGAAGAGCTGCCCGAAGCCATTTTAAAAGCTGCAAATGAAGCACATTTGGAGGAGTTACCTGCCAAATCACGAGGAAGAGGTGTTTCTGGCGTATTTTTCGCACCTAAGTAAGTTTTTGAAATCTAATACTTTATGGTCTCGCTATTCGATGGTGAAAAGTTTAGTAAAAATAAAACAAAATTTGGATATAAGCCAGTTCCATAAGTTAACGTCATTTCTAAAACAAAAATATGTTGGTTTTCGAGCACAGAAGGCGCAGGTTTTTACCAAAGAAGATATATCCAGGTTTATGTTAGCCCCTGATGAGGTATACCTTATGATTAAAGTGAGTACCATTTTTGCTTTAGCTGGTGCTCTCCGCAGAGCGGAGCTTGTAAATATCACTCTCGATGATATACAAGATAAAGGCAATCTGATAGTTGTGAAAATTTCCGATTCCAAAAATCATTCTTCAAGATCATTTGTTTTATGTGAAGAAATAAATAATGGAAACTTTCTGAAGCTGTACAGAAAGTACGCAGGTTTACGACCACCTACCACTCCGCATCGCCGCTTTTTTATTAATTATAAGAAGGGAAAATGCTCAATTCAGTGCGTTGGCGTAAACACCTTTGGTAAGATGCCAACAGAGATTGCTGCATATTTGCGTCTACCTAATCCTGAACGATACACAGGACACAGTTTTAGACGTTCTTCAGCAAGATTCCTAGCAGACTCAGGTGAAGCGATAACCAATATAAAACGTCTCGGTGGCTGGAAGTCCAATACTATCGCTGAAGGCTATTTGGAGGACTCCGAAACACAGAAGAAAAACATTTCGAATAAAATTCTTTCAAATAGAAATGACTTGCAACCTTTGCTGCCACCGTCATTTTTACCTTCATGCGACCTGCAACCGATGTCACTCCTGTCCACGTCATCTTTTCAATCTACGAGCGTTACGGCTATTAACAGCCAATTAACACCAACTGCTACAAATTGTGTATTTAACATTAATATCCATAATAATTAGTTGTTTTTATTTAAAGATTTGTATATGTTGAAATAAAATAATTTTCCAAAAATAATTTTTCCTACTTTTTTGTATATACGGTCGTAGAAAAAATAATGTTCCTAACTCATGCGTAAAGTGTCTTTCCCGCTTCGCGTCGTTCGGGCCAACTGCAGTCGCATGCGGGAAAGTAACACTTTCCGCACTTGTTAGGAAAATAACAACTCACAGGAAAACGACATTTTTTTGTAGATCATATAAGATTGTTTTGAATTTAAAGATGGTTTTAGAACAAGACATTTTATCATACATCCGTATAATTATCATTAGAAAAACAAGTACTCATTTACAATAATAAAACAATACTGTCAAAGTGAAAATAAATTCTGGGATTAGGTAGTTATTTAATTAAAATAAATGTGTGAAATTTTCTTACCGAATACCATAAGAGAAGAGAAAAAATGTTCAAAATAATTTCATCTCTAGTAGTATTACATGTGAAAATATAACTTATCGATGTAACAAACTAATAGAAAACCCAAAATTAAATTTATTATGTTTATTACAGATATTACTGCTGGAGAAGTGGCTCTAGCACTAACACAAGTCTTGGCAGTCTGTCGACAAATGCAATGGGGTGTCAGACAATGGGCAGAGCTAGAAAATCTTATGACATCCGTAGAGAGGCTTCTGGAATACACTGATATTAAAACAGAAAATAAGCAAGGCCTACAACTAGAAAACTGGCCATGTAAAGGTTCTATAACTTACGAAAAAGTTTCTCTATCTTATAACGACAGTGACGAACTAGTTTTGAAAAATTTAAATTTCGAAGTGAAGCCAAATGAAAAAATTGGAATAGTTGGTAGAACAGGAGCGGGAAAATCTTCGATAATATCCACGATTTTCCGATTATATGAAGTTCAAGGAAAAATCTTAATAGACGGAGTCGATATTAAAACTCTAGCTATTCAATTTTTAAGAAAACATGTAGCTATCATTCCTCAAGATCCTATTGTATTTTCTGGAACGATAAGAACAAACTTGGATGTACGGAATGAATTCAACGATAACGAATTATGGGAAGCATTAGAGAAAGTTGGAATGAAAAATTACATCTCCAGTTTGGACCAAATTGTGGGAAGCAGCTCAAACACAAATTTTAGTTCCGGACAAAAGCAACTTATTTGCTTAGCAAGGGCCATTCTTCGTAAACACAAAATAGTTGTAATGGACGAAGCAACGGCTAACATGGACCATGAAACCGACATTATTTTACATCAAATCATTAAAAATAACTTTTCTGATGCAACTGTTCTTACTATTGCTCATAGATTACATGCTGTTTTGGAGTGTGATAAGGTTATGGTGCTGGATAGGGGTGAGATCGCAGAATTTAATGACCCAAATACATTGCTCGATAATAGAGATGGAATGTTTTATAATATGGTCAAGCAAGCTGGGCTTCTTAATTATTTAAGTTAACACTTAATACATTTGAATTAATAAATTGAGAATACCAATTATATTGAATTTTACTTTTTTCTTTATAAAAATCGGGAATCAATCTCAAAGGAACAAAACAATTAGTATTTAATTATTATATTGATGATTTTTGATCTCAAACAGTAGTATTAAATGTTTATAATACGTACTCTGAATCATTTAAGAATATTTTCACAAATGTTAGTAATAAATTAGGTACTTATATTATTTGTTTACTATTTTTGTATTTAACCATTGTATTAGATCAACTAGTAGAACAAAACCAATGCAAATTATCTTCAAGGACAATGGACAGTATCAATAGATGGCAGCAAGCTCCGTGGTGTCCAAGTCATGTCTTTGATAATTTTGTCGTCTTCTACTGAGCCATCGAACGGTTGTCGAAACTGAATAACGAACGTAATTTCTCTATTTTTTACTAATAGATGGACCGATAGTCGATTTAGAAAATTTGTTTTAAAAATGAGATAAACGAGTTTAGAGAATATAAACAATATTAATTTAAATTTGCCAATATACCCAAATACAAATTTACAAATTAAGAAAACTTTATGTATATAGAATTCTGTACTCAATGATCGTGGAAACGCTAGGGCTCGGGCCATTTTGAAGTTATGTACTTGTTCTAACACATGTTGCGACAGAATTGCCTCCAATGAAACGTCCATAAGAGTGATTCTACTATCTTATCTAAATACAATGATTTAACTAACTATTTTTCAGTTGCGATATTTATTACTTAAACCTTACAGATGTTTACTATTTCTTGAGTAGGGCAGTAATTACTATTGCCTTGATACAAAGTATACAGTTAAAAAGGACTTCTTCATATCCACGAATCATATTTCACCGACGCGAAACGTTGAGAATAGTGGTATTTAGCTGATTATTTATTTCCCTCAACAATACTTCCCTAGCTTGTCTTATAGCTATTAAATATTTTGTACAAGTTAAAAGTTAATATTAAAATAAATTATAAATCTTTTTAATTTAGATTATATTTAGGTAATACTCTGAAAGAGCATCTCACTGTTGAAAAAATAAACACGAACGTATGGAGCCCAGCACTTACCCTTATCGTTATTCGACATTCTTTTTGTTGAGTTGAAATATTATCATTTTTTGAATGACATTGTATTTTTAATGTTTCCACTGATGTCACTTTTTGAATAATAAAACCTTTTAATTCAAGTTGCAGAATATTATTCATTCAGTCCACTACCGTGTATAATCTTCTACAGGTTATGGGTCCAGGTATGCTGTGAATACAATAGGTTGGTCTTGCAAAGTCAGTTTTTTAATATTTGGAGCAGTATCTTGTCTACACGTTGTGTGTATGGAACTTTTAAGAGTTATTATTGATAAACTTCAAGGGCAGTCTAATTGGATGGACTGCAAGTTCCAAATAAGAATTCAGTTACAGTCACGATGTTATGCAAGCAGTTAATGGTACTTTGGAGTATCCATAATATTTGGCACCGACTGCAACTGAAATTCAAAAGGCAGTATATCGAAAAGCTCTCTCCTCCGAAAATAAAATTGAATATAAGGCTCAGAATTTAATTGTGTCGATCTTAAGCAGTCAGGTACGGCAATTAGTTAACATGTGCAGCAAAGAAAAAGATACGTGGGATAAGCTACATAGTGTGTATGAACAAGGAACTGAACAAAGACAGGATCGTCTCTTTAATCAGTTCTTAAGTGTTCGGGAAAAATATCCTCAAGACACTGTAGCTAGACATATTGTCAAACTCGAGAAGTAATGGTTAGAATTTCAAGATGAAACCTGGCGAGAAGACAAAGTTAAACTACCCGACTCGTTATTTTTAAACAGAGTTTTGAATATCTTGCCTGCAGAATATTTCGAGTTTACAAATGTATGGGAGTCTGCACCAAAAAAAAAACAACGTATTGTGTGAAATATTATGTACAGTGGAACTGCGAATACATGAGAGAGGAGCTGAAAATCTTGATACGTTTGCCAAGTCAAAGAACTCATTTTTACATAATCAAGACAATGTTGCTGATAAGAAGAAGAAAAGGGTAACCTGCTACCAGTGTGGTAAGAGAGGATACGTAAAACGTGACTGTCCCAAAAGAGATGAGAAAATTAACAAATGAGCTGGAGATACCTCTTCTAGTTCAGCTTCTGTGGGCATCACAATCTGAAGAAAAGATTTGTGGTTAGCGGATTCAGGGACAACACAGCATATGACAAGCCGAAAAGAATGATTTGTATCCTTTGAACGTTTTTCATCCCCACAGTATGTCTTAGTTGGTAATAGGCAGCGAATGCAGGCACTTGGAAAAGGAAATATAGACGTAAAGATGTATATTAACGGTCAATGGATCCAAAACTACCTCCAAGGCGTTTGGTATGTTCCCGAGGTCAGCCGTAATTTTTTCTCATTTCCTTGTATCTTCGATAAAGGAATGACTTCCAGTCTCACTAAACATACTTGTTCTATCGAGAAAAACGGCAAGGTAGTAGCTGTTGGAGAGAGTAAAAATGGCCTTTATTTAATGTTTATTAAAGTCTTGCTACCGAAAGCAGTAGTGGAGGTACATCTGACTGAACAAAATACTCTTCAGGTTTGGCATGAGCGTTTAGGTCACCAAAATATGCGCTTGTTCATAGTTTTTTGAAAAGTCAAGGTATTGACATTCCACTGGATGAACATTTTTGTGAATATTGTATATATCGGAAGCACCATAGATTAGGTTTTGGTACAACGTCAGTCCAGGGGACTTAAACCAGGAGATCTAATACATGCAGATATTTGCGGACCCATTTCTGAGAAGTCTCTGGGTGGAGCTCGTTATTTTCTTTGTATAAAAAATGATTTTATTAAATTTAGAACTTTATATTTCTTAAAAGAAAAGTCAGAACAGTACCAAAAAAAATAGAAAATTTTTTGATGGAAGTAAAAGTTAAAGAATTATTAACAGACAATGGTAACGAATTTAGTAATCAAGAAATGAAGAAAATCACAGGTGCAGTAGGGTTACAACATCGTACAACTCTGACGTATATGACAGAACAAAATGGGGCTGCAGAGTCTGGTAGAGTCTGCAAGAAATATGCTCCATAGTAGGAATTTACCTGAATTCTTGTGGGCCGAAGCCGTCAATATGGCAGCATATATCTTAAACCATAGTGGTTCCACTCCAGTTAGTAATAAAACTCTAATTGAACTCTAGCATGGTGTAACTCCATTTTTAGAGCATTTTAAAATATTTGGCACTGAATCTTTGTTCATATTCCTAGACCAAAAAGACGGAAATGGGAAAGAAAAAGCATGAAAGGGTACCTCTTAGGATATTGTGGCGAAAAATATGATTACAGAATTTTAATTGCAGAAAATAAAGATGTCATACTAAGTAAGGACGTTGTATTCAAAGAAGAAAAAACGATAAAAGAAAATTTCTTCGTTCTTGACAGTAAACTACCAGAAAAAACTGAAAACGTTCCTAGTATATTCGAAAATAATAGATATGATGAGGCAGAACAGAAAAATGAAAGATATTTTCGAAATTAAACATGTCTACGGATTTTGATGATTTGGCGATATTAGTTGATTACGGATTATATCACAGTAAAGGAGGCTATGAATTTAAAGGATTGGAAAGGGGCCAAGGACGACAAAATTCAATCTTTGTTAGAAAATATTACTTGGGAGCAAAGCAATCTCAAACAAATGGGTTTATCGAATCAAAGAAGATTCAATTGGAAACGTGACCAGGTACAAAGCACATTTGGTCATAAAGGGTTTTTGCAAAAAACCTGGGATTGATTTTGAAGAAACTTTTGCATCAGTTGCTCGCTTTGACATGATTAGAACTGTTCTAGCTATAGCTGCACGAGAAAAATTATTAATGAAGCAATTTGATATTCAAGAGCTAGGTTTGTGAAATTAAGAAACTCTCTTGGTTTAAGAAATTCGGTTTAAGGGGAGTGTTGAAACAATACACGAACGTATGGAGACCACCCCTTCCCCTTATCGTTATTCGACATTATTTTTGTTGAGTTGAATTATTATTTTTTCATTGACATTGTATTTTTAAGTTTTCGACTGATGTCATTTTTTGAATAATAAAACCTTTTAATTCAAGTTGCAGACCATTATTCATTCAGTTCACTACCGTGTATAATCCTATACACTATACTCATTCTTGCAGCTATCCTTTTGATCTGAGCAATATTGTCCATCTGACCATAAATCCTGCAACTACTTTTTAAAATACAGGGCATTAAACCTAGAAAATGGAATGGATATAAACAAAATTGTTTTCTTTCAATATTGTTCAGAAAAGCACCTACCAACCTAAAACTATTGAAGATTTTGAAATTTTCTCATACAGATACCCGGAAATAAGCAGACGTAGACTTGAACTTTAAATGCGTTTTAATATGATTAAAGATATTAATCATCTTCAATCATTTAAATTGTTATCATAAGTTTACATTTACAATATCAAAAAGTAATCAATCAATATCAATCAGAACAGATAATTAAACATGCGCCGCCAAATTTGTTGATAATTAAATAATATTTATTAATTGCAGTTTCTTATTAACATTCATTTTGCTAATCTTTCTATATCAGTTAGGTAAACAAAAACATACTCAAAGATACGACTGTTTGATCTCGAATTACAACTTTCATTGGTGTTTATACAATTATATAGCTGTAGTTTTACAATTTGGAATTTTATGTGAGTATTACTTACTTAATATTAAAAAGAGTAATCAAATTTTTATTTAATTTTTTATTTTTCTAGCGATACCAATAAGCCCATATTTTGGAACCAGTAACGGGTATGTAATCAATAATTGTTCGAAAAAAAATCTCTTAAACGTTTGACATTTTTAAAATGTATTTACAAAAACATATCTTTAGACAAAAATAAGCCGATTTCAGTTAACATACCTAAGTACAAAGTTGCTACCATAAACCATTTAAGACTTTTAATTTCTGAGGTTTGATTTGAATTGTTTCACTTAAACTGTAAAAAGTAAAAAAAATTGTCCCAGAATGGCCAATGCTCAGGTTGGGAACCCTTGGGAACTCCATCGCATAAAGCACACATTTCGGAAATATTTCAACAATGTTACATTGAAACATTTGCAATGTTTTATAAATATTACGAAACATCCCAAAAACATTTCTGAAATATGCCTGAAACATAAAAATGTTCTGTAAATATATTTCACAGTAATATTTAGGAAATGAAAATTTGAAATCTTTTAAAAATTTTAAATAGTAATATTCCAGAAATGTATTCTAATTTTTTTTCTAATATATTATTAGACTAAAAAACAGACATTTATAAATATTTATTTAAAATACACAAAACTCAAACATTGATTCTTAAACAAACAAATAAATATGTTTTAAAGAATATTTCATAAAATATAGAAGCGAATAGCTTCATTTCCACCAATTCCTTTAAATACATTAATTTGAAAGAACTAGGTTTTTTTTTAATAAATGCTCCAAGTAAATAAACATTTACGATTATTATAATCTAATCATCAAGATCAATTAGCAATTTTAGTTTTACCTAACTTATCTAGGGATGAAAAACTTCATAAACTAAGATTCTACTGACTATCTAGTGTACTTTAAAGTCTAATTATTTAGTTATACTACCGTTAACGTATACCACTTAACCGCACTATACTCTGTTTTAATCTAACATTACTATACTAACTCAAATGGCCTGGTTCTCTTAAGCCTTCTTATTAGATTGGCATCGATGAGGAACTGGATCAAGGTTTCCATGTTGGAGCAGTCGTTGGTGACTACTGGCAAATTTTTGTATTGTACTTTCAACAGTCTCCACTATGAAGATCAATATTTCGGCAGTACCAAAATGCATCAACGATGTTCCTTAATACTTTATTCTGGAAACGTTGAATAACTTGGACGTTACTTTTACCGGCACAGCCCCAAAGCTGGCAAATTGCTTCATTTCCACTAATTCCTTTAAATGCACTAATCTGAAACAAAATATAGGTAATTAAAAAGGCTTTATACAAATTATTTGATTAACAATAGTTTTATTAATATTGTTTTAAATTAACTATAATATAACAATACTCATGTCTAAACAAAACATGAAGATCCACGTAAGCAAGCATTATTTATGTAGTTCTCACCTTAATTTCTAAAGACATATTATTCTACTTCCATATAACAAGTTCACAACGCATGAATATCAAAAACCAACAACTCAAATCTATAATTATTTAGAATATAGGCTTGTTTCTAGGTGGTGGCTGGACAATGACATGGGATGAAATAAAATAACTACACATCCCATCTTCTTACAAATCAGAAATTCTTCATTAATTGTTGGCCTTTCACAACATAACCCGTTTAGTAATCTTTTGTGTAACATGTATACCATGTTTCAGAAACATTTTCAGTGAAATATTTGACTAAAATATTTCAGAAATATTTCAGAAACTTGTGCTTGAAATTTTCCAGGCAGTAGGGAAAATACATGTTTTCAAAATACGTTTCAACGGAGTGGCCAAAATTAGTGCACAATCTCTGACAATAAACGAAGGAATAAGGTCAGTACTCATTGACATATTGGGCTTAAGGTTTTTTAGGGCTCTAATAACTTCATCTTGAGATACTAGTCCGGGATCCGTAAGTAATGTCGACCTTCACCCATCTGTTTAATGGATAAAAGTTTTTTTTATTAAATAAAATATGTTTTTAAATATACCGAAAATGGGTTGCCTAAGAAAATACGGTCACAGCCATTTTTTACTTTCCTTTCTGTGTACAGATAAGAAAAGTATAGGAATCATAATAAAAGTTGCTTAGGATATCATTCTCTATTATTTTGTTCCTTTACATGATTTCCCTAAAATGGACCGAATTCGAGATATTTGAGGAAAAGTGCTAATTTCGAATTTTGAAGATAACTTAAAAACGGATGAAGAGAAAAACACCAAATTTTAAACTTAAGCTTTAATCCATCCTACGGTGAGCTGATTAAGGCATAGTCGAAGCATCTGGAGAATACTTTACAGGGTGTCTGGACCGTATTTTCTTAGGCAACCCATTTGCGGTATATTTATAAACACATTTTATTTAATAAAAAGAAACTTTCATTCATTAAACAGATGAGTGAAGGTCGACCTTACTTCGGATCTCAGACTGAATTAAAGTGAAGCAAAGGTAAATTAATGGTAGATTCGTTGATGAAGTGATTTATTTGAGAAATTGCTTCAAAAGCTTGAACAATTGCCTGTGGATCTTCTATACAGTCATTATTATATTCAACAGTAGTGGGTATGGAATAGGAAGAATTTTTAGAATTTATGTATGACCAGAATTGTTTTGGATCATTTTTAATATTATTTTCGATTGATCTTAAATAAAAGGAGTGAGGTATAGAAATGATTTGTTTAATTTGGTCTCGAAGGTTCTTAAATTTAGTAAATGCATCTATGGAATAAGCGGATTTGTAGGTAGGTAGATTTGTTGGTAGGTTAAACCAAGGAGGGTAGGTCCTAAGGTTAGGTTTTTTACCAGGTATATGCTTATTAAAAGTAATAAACAATTTATTGTTCAATAGTTGAACACTTTCATCAACGCTGCTTGCAGAATCAAGAAAATTTCAATTGATATTGAGTAGTGCGTTCTATAATTTTGGAAAATCTGCTTTTTTGTAATTATACTGCACGTGGTCTGGTTTACACTGTAAACTCTTAACTCTAATTTTAATGGGGGTATCAATACACAAAGAGGGGTGATAATCATCTTCATCTAAAACTACTTCATCGGCTTTATATACATGACATGTTGAATTGGAAAAAACTAAGTCAAGCCGACGATGATATGTATTTTCTATCAAATTGAATTGATTTAAGTTAAAAAAATTCGCAAATGATTGTACGACGTTTAATCTAGGCGAGCAAATTATCCCTGTCCCTCTATATTACTATTTATTGTAGAGAAAAAATGTACAATTGTAGAAATTTGTTCTACCATTTTTTTTTGTGTATGACTTGTTTTTGATATACAGGAGGTTAAAGTTACAAATTGGCTATTTTTACAAAGGTTGCACTTCTTAAAAAAGCACGTACTTCACATTCCAAAACGCGAAAATAAACTCGGAACAAACTGAACTTCTAATCGAACTAACCTGAGATTATGTTCACAAAATTGTAACGGCGCCCATGGTGTGTGACTTTTGTAGCCCTTTTTAAATATTTTCTAAGTTGAAATTACTATTTGGAAGACATTATACACCTTAAACAATTACTAGATCAAACATCTAAGTAACTTACCTAAAATGCATAATAATAATTACTCTTATAATAATTCTATAAAAATACGCTTGAATCTTTCTTTCATTAATTTTAAAGGACGAATTTAAGTCCATTGAAAAGACAATGATACCAAAACACACATTTAATAAATTTAATCTGTATACTTATTTATTAGATAAAGTTCGTCTGGATTATTACTTGTCGTATTCAGTATGTAATTTGTAATTTTAAATTGTAGTTACGCGCCAAGAAGATTCCGACTAGAATGATTGTATAGCGTGCTACAACATGGACCACTGTGAAAGAGTAAAAAGGAAACAAAATCCGAGAGAGAAGGCTAAACTATTTTCTAAATTAAGTTTCGCGTAAGTAATTTTGTTCATTTCATTTTGATTGATTTATCCGGTTAGTCCATATGCGTGTTATATTGTTAAATATCAATTTTAACAGTACAAGGATTGTTTAATAAAAATATTTTTCTAATAAAGTGACATTTTTTGTAATCGCAGCAAGTGTCAAAATGATCTACTTTACGCAACCAGCTGCATAATGTTAAACATTATGAAACTTGTAAAGAAAAATTCAATATATCACCAATAGCAGAAAGAAAATAAATAAAAATAAACTCTTTTTTGTTTTAAAGTCAATAGGTATATAACATTTTGATTAAAAGTTAATATCAAAGAAGAAGACAAGTCTACACGCATGCACACAAACACCGTGCCGAAGTCTGCCGAACTAGAACGACGTTAGACGATGCACGGTTTTCAACGCCGCACCGCTGTGCCGGTCGGAGTGGGGGTATTAGGTTTATTTTCGTTACAGAATTTCTTTTCCGATTTTTTGATTTTTTTATTTTTCGATTTTTCGATTTTTCGATTTTTCGATTATTCGATTTTTCGATTTTTCGATTTTTCGATTTTTCGATTTTTCGATTTTTCGATTTTTCGATTTTTCGATTTTTCGATTTTTCGATTTTTCGATTTTTCGATTTTTCGATTTTTCGATTTTTCGATTTTTCGATTTTTCGATTTTTCGATTTTTCGATTTTTCGATTTTTCGATTTTTCGATTTTTCGATTTTTCGATTTTTCTATTTTTCGATTTTTCGATTTTTCGATTTTTCGATTTTTCGATTTTTTGATATTTCGATTTTTCGATTTTTCAATTTTTCAATTTTTCAATTTTTTGATTTTTCGATTTTTCGATTTTTCGATTTTTCGATTTTTCGATTTTTCGATTTTTCGATTTTTCGATTTTTCGATTTTTCGATTTTTCGATTTTTCGATTTTTCGATTTTTCGATTTTTCGATTTTTCGATTTTTCGATTTTTCGATTTTTCGATTTTTCGATTTTTCGATTTTTCGATTTTTCGATTTTTCGATTTTTCGATTTTTCGATTTTTCGATTTTTCGATTTTTCGATTTTTCGATTTTTCGATTTTTCGATTTTTCGATTTTTCGATTTTTCGATTTTTCGATTTTTCGATTTTTCGATTTTTCGATTTTTCGATTTTTCGATTTTTCGATTTTTCGATTTTTCGATTTTTCGATTTTTCGATTTTTCGATTTTTCGATTTTTCGATTTTTCGATTTTTCGATTTTTCGATTTTTCGATTTTTCGATTTTTCGATTTTTCGATTTTTCGATTTTTCGATTTTTCGATTTTTCGATTTTTCGATTTTTCGATTTTTCGATTTTTCGATTTTTCGATTTTTCGATTTTTCGATTTTTCGATTTTTCGATTTTTCGATTTTTCGATTTTTCGATTTTTCGATTTTTCGATTTTTCGATTTTTCGATTTTTCGATTTTTCGATTTTTCGATTTTTCGATTTTTCGATTTTTCGATTTTTCGATTTTTCGATTTTTCGATTTTTCGATTTTTCGATTTTTCGATTTTTCGATTTTTCGATTTTTCGATTTTTCGATTTTTCGATTTTTCGATTTTTCGATTTTTCGATTTTTCGATTTTTCGATTTTTCGATTTTTCGATTTTTCGATTTTTCGATTTTTCGATTTTTCGATTTTTCGATTTTTCGATTTTTCGATTTTTCGATTTTTCGATTTTTCGATTTTTCGATTTTTCGATTTTTCGATTTTTCGATTTTTCGATTTTTCGATTTTTCGATTTTTCGATTTTTCGATTTTTCGATTTTTCGATTTTTCGATTTTTCGATTTTTCGATTTTTCGATTTTTCGATTTTTCGATTTTTCGATTTTTCGATTTTTCGATTTTTCGATTTTTCGATTTTTCGATTTTTCGATTTTTCGATTTTTCGATTTTTCGATTTTTCGATTTTTCGATTTTTCGATTTTTCGATTTTTCGATTTTTCGATTTTTCGATTTTTCGATTTTTCGATTTTTCGATTTTTCGATTTTTCGATTTTTCGATTTTTCGATTTTTCGATTTTTCGATTTTTCGATTTTTCGATTTTTCGATTTTTCGATTTTTCGATTTTTCGATTTTTCGATTTTTCGATTTTTCGATTTTTCGATTTTTCGATTTTTCGATTTTTCGATTTTTCGATTTTTCGATTTTTCGATTTTTCGATTTTTCGATTTTTCGATTTTTCGATTTTTCGATTTTTCGATTTTTCGATTTTTCGATTTATCGATTTTTCGATTTTTCGATTTTTCGATTTTTCGATTTTTCGATTTTTCGATTTTTCGATTTTTCGATTTTTCGATTTTTCGATTTTTCGATTTTTCGATTTTTCGATTTTTCGATTTTTCGATTTTTCGATTTTTCGATTTTTCGATTTTTCGATTTTTCGATTTTTCGATTTTTCGATTTTTCGATTTTTCGATTTTTCGATTTTTCGATTTTTCGATTTTTCGATTTTTCGATTTTTCGATTTTTCGATTTTTCGATTTTTCGATTTTTCGATTTTTCGATTTTTCGATTTTTCGATTTTTCGATTTTTCGATTTTTCGATTTTTCGATTTTTCGATTTTTCGATTTTTCGATTTATCGATTTATCGATTTTTCGATTTTTCGATTTTTCGATTTTTCGATTTTTCGATTTTTCGATTTTTCGATTTTTCGATTTTTCGATTTTTCGATTTTTCGATTTTTCGATTTTTCGATTTTTCGATTTTTCGATTTTTCGATTTTTCGATTTTTCGATTTTTCGATTTTTCGATTTTTCGATTTTTCGATTTTTCGATTTTTCGATTTTTCGATTTTTCGATTTTTCGATTTTTCGATTTTTCGATTTTTCGATTTTTCGATTTTTCGATTTTTCGATTTTTCGATTTTTCGATTTTTCGATTTTTCGATTTTTCGATTTTTCGATTTTTCGATTTTTCGATTTTTCGATTTTTCGATTTTTCGATTTTTCGATTTTTCGATTTTTCGATTTTTCGATTTTTCGATTTTTCGATTTTTCGATTTTTCGATTTTTCGATTTTTCGATTTTTCGATTTTTCGAGTTTGTGTTTTTGTTTTGTCCATTTAGTCGAAAACCGTCATTAGACTACACAAACAAGCGTTCAGTTATTGCGTTTCGGTGTCTTGTTGAGAGTGGTTTTTACCTGTTTACACTATTTTGCAGTAATATTATTATTGAGTACACAATATAAAACACGGCTAGATCGGTGCATTTTGAAATAGTAAGTTACTAACATAAAGTTATAAGATGTTTTATGTAATGAACCAATTATTAAAACTTCTAGGTTAACTGTAATCGCTTTGCTGTTTGGTTTGTTTGAATATATAGTTCATCATCCCAAGAAGAACGTTGATAAGGCATCAGTGTAGCCTCATTTTTTAATATCAAAAGATAAACCAAAATTATATCAATAAAAGGTTGTTCCACCAAAGGGTTACATGTCCATTACAATTCAGTTCACTTGCGGCAGTTAGACCGGATTAGTCAAAAGGGCTAGGTAGACATTAGGACACAACACCAGAAGTAGTCATCAGCATATGTTTCGCTATGAAAACAGATGAAAGTAACTAATTATTTCATCTCACCAGATGATAATTGTTTTGATGCTGTATTTGCAAGACCGACTGCCCTTGATGGATTAGCATTTAGAGTCTTTATCACTTCCGTGGATTTATGAAAGGATCTCCAAAGAAGAGGATACGAAAATTTTCCAACCTCTGAACATCAATTTGCAAGAGAGTTTTATCGTATCACAAAAAAAATTGTAAATTATTACACCCAACATCTTGAAGTAATTAGAAAAAATTACAAATTTGTGAGTTTAACCATCGATGAATGGACATCTACAGCTAATAAAAGGTACATGAATGCAAATGAACAGGGACATAATGTAGAAGAAAACGTTAAATTGTGGAATATCGGTTTAATAAGAATTTGTGGCTCAATGCCTGCAGATGCTTGTGTCAAATTACTTAAAAATAGATTACAAAAATGTAAGCTTTCTTTGAATAGTGATGTCGTTAGTGTAACTACAGATGCCAGCGTTATGACAAAATTTTGAAAACTAATAAAACCACAAGATCAACAATGCTTTGCCCATGCCATTCATTTAGCTGTATTGGCTGTATTGTACACAAGAAAAACGGATAGAGAAAAAATGATAAAAACGGCAGTGATGACTTGAATTTGTGTCCAGACACAGAATACCAAAGTGCTGAGGACGAAGACTACGAAGAAGATGGATTTTTAGAGTTGATTAAGGAGAAAATCTGGATTTGACAAATAATCATGATATCAAGATTTGATTGAGAAAATTCGAAAAATGGTCAAGTTTTTTAGACGCTCTCCTGTTAAAAATAATACTTTGCTGAGTTATGTAAAAGAGAAGCACAAGAAGGAACTTTAGACTGCAAAACAAGATGGAACAGTCTGGTACTAATATTGAAATGCTTTATTCGTGAGAAAGATTGCATCCAGTAAGCTTTAATAGATGTAAAAAGTAATACTACTATCATAACAGAGCAAGAATCTGACCTGTTAGAAAATATTATTGTCTATAACCAGTTCAATTGACTAAAGAAGCAATATGTAGGAGGGATGATAATCTTTTTACTGCAGATGCTAGCTTTAAGTTTCTATTCAAAGACCTTTCTAACATAAATACAGCTCTAAACAGGGAATTGGAGCTTTCCATAAGAAAGCGTAGAGCAGAACGTCGAACAATAATATCATCTCAAGTTTTGAGTTATCTACAAAACCCTGAAGCTGACAATACTAATAGCGATGATTTTTTTAATTTACCCAATTCAAATCAAATTGCAATTTTTGTGAAAAATATAACGGACGCTTTTTCAATGCAACATTTAATTACAACAACTCCAGTTCAACAAGTCAATTTCGACAGTAATGATGGATTTGATAAAGATGATGTGCCGTTTGATCAACTGTCATTGCAGACGGATAAGTCTCATACCAATCGCCTGAAGCAAAAACTTGAAATTGCTATAGCGAATGCCATAAAAAAGGAGTAAAAATGATAGACCAAACTAACTAAAGGTGATAAAAAAAGAGATGAGTTTATATGAAAATGGAGGATTGAGAGGACTACACCTACAGCAGTATTATGAGCAGCTGATGACGATACCACCGACAAGCGTGGGGCAAAGATAGCATTTTCTTCGGCACTAAAATTAGATCGCGACTAAGCGACTCGACATTAGTCGCTTTAATTCTCCTAAGAGCACTCTTTCGAAATAAATAATAAATAAAATTAATTCAATTTATTATTTTGTAATAATTTATTTCGAAAGTAGGTACTTATGTGTTCTATTTAACAATTGTTTCATGTTTTTTGTTTAATGTTTGTTTTTATTTAATATTTGTTTTTGTTTAATTATTGTTTAATGTTTTTGTTTAATTATTGTTTAATGGTTTTCTTATTTTTGATAAATGTATTGAACAGCGAAAAATATTTTTTTTAATTGTGAGAAAATCACATGTTGGAGTACAGTACGAGAATATAAAAAAATTACTCCCGAAACACGATACAATCTTTAACTGACTAAAATAAAGATTTTCGGGACTAATCCCGAGATCCCGAAATTACAAATTTACATTCCGAAATCCCGAAAATGAATTCCGATCCCGAAAACGTAGCTGATTGTAATTTATAAAGAGTTGTTATTTCATTTGTAGTCTCTTTCGGTTCTTAAGTGCAAAGAACTTTTAAGGAGAGCAACTGCTCCTTTTTCCCCCTCTCCCTGGCCGCGACCACAATACAATCAACAAATATTTTTTTAGATACACAGCAGGACTTTTTAAAAAAGCTTTAAACAACGATTTGGAAGAAAAAAATGTGTACGAAGTTATTAAATGTTGCAATTCAAAAAGATGTGGAGATAAATTAGAAAAGCAATGGAAAATAGATAATGAACTACCCACACCCGGTTCAATATATAGACTGTTATGGCACAGATTTGGCTGGAGATACCTCTTTATCGGTTTAGTAGATTTATTTTTTAAAATCCTTAGCAGGTAAGTGCATTCATATTATTAAATAAGAATTTTAATATATTCTATCTTGGCCTGCAGATTCTAAAACAGAATTAACTGATGATAGAAGCAGTTAATCAGTTTGAAATATAACAGATGTGTACGGTTAGGTTTTGATTGACAACCTGTGTTATTTTTAACAGGTTAGATAAACACACATAAATTAGAACCTGTTCACAAATAAGATAACTTGTCAATCATACTCCTGGTTATTTTAATATTTATACTATTGTTCAGGGCCCCCGCAACTGCGCGTGCCAAACCGGAGGTCTATATACAATTCGAATTTTTAATTTTTCTAACGATTCCAATGAACAAGGCACTAAGATACTAAAGAAATCAAAAATGTTTTTATCTCAATTCATGATAATAAATTCAATAATGTTATCCAAGTATATGTTCGTTGATATAATGACCTATTCCTATTGTGACAGAAAACATATCTATTTTTGAAATCAAATAGCTATTCAATTAGCGTTAATTATTAAATATAATAAAATCAATAGGTTAGTTAATTCTGTGTGCAACATGCAATACCATGAATACCCGTATAAAGTATAAACTTGTCGATTTTTGCTGTCCAGACTCGAATACTGTACGAACTACTGTACTGTGTAGACTCTAATATTGTACGACGGGTAAGTTTCATATTAGATCTTGTCGATTTTTCCTGTCCAGACTTGAAGACTCATCTACGAACCACGAGACCACGAGTATAAATAAAACTGCAGGAGGCGTCGTAATCCAAATAGTTAATATTTTTTATTCGGCTACGTGAAATTTGTATAACTTTTTTGTTAGAGCAACTAAAAATACAACTTTTTTTGTCCCTTAAAAGCAAAAAGTAAAAGAATAAGAAATAATAGAAACGCTGCAAAATAAAGTTTACAAACTAATTAAGGCTCGTAAATATTAATCCAATTCTAATATACACTGCGATTCATAATTAACGGATAAATTCATTTTCTACGTAATTTACAATTTATGAGTAAAATCCTGAAACACGTCATTTTTTAACCCTAAAATTATCTTTTTAGCATAATTTTACACATGAACGAGGGTGTGTTCACTGTGTCCTTTTCCCAAAGCTGACATATTAGACTTTAAAAGGCTTTAAAAAAATATAACTGACGTTAAGAAACGTCAAATAACTTATGTGAAGTAGATCAAGAACGAACGCACTCAAATGTATTAATCGACAATTTTAAAAAATGCCATTTTTTTCCGGCAATTTCGGGAAAAAATATACATTTGGCAACTATATCAACAAAGACTTGAAGCAAATGTAAGAAGTTTAGCGAAAACTACACGTCGATATCGTTTTCCATTCTTGAGTTTTAAGCTGTTAAAATGTATTACATTATAGTGGAACACCCTGTAAATCTATAAAATCCAATATGAGCAGTGACAATAATTGACTGTTTTTAATTTGGTACTTATCAGAACTTATTTTTGTATGTATTTATATTTTTTAGTGTTCTAGAACCTTTAGCAATAAGCAATATAGTCGACTACTTCAATAAACCAACAACTCTAACTCAGGAAGAAGTATACTTTTGGGCGGCAGTCCTCTTAGGCAACAACTTAATATACACTATTTACATTCACAACTGTATGCTGTGGGCACAAAGGCTAGGAATAGAAATGAGAACAGCCTTCTCAGCCTTATTGTACAGAAAAGCTTTAAGGCTTACCCCTTCTGCTGTATCAAAGATTACTTTAGGAAACATTGTCACACTTATTACCAAAGATGTACAATCATTTCAATTGTCAATTTGGATGTTTAATGACATGTGGAATGGTACTTTACAAATGTGTGTTAACTGTTACTTATTGTATAGTAAAATTGGATGGTCATCTCTAATTGGAATCGGAATAATTTTATCTGTGCTTCCGCTGCAAGGTAATTTATTACTAGGAACTAAATATTTTGAAAGGTACCGTAGAATGGGGTTAATTGGGACAAATTTGAAACATTTTTTGCTGGTACTTCAAACATGTACTTATTATCCACCTTATTTATATATATAACAATGAGCCTTCCCCATTACAGAGGGGGAGCTAACATTTTTTCTTTTATAGTTATCCCAAATTACCCCGTAGGGTGGGGCTATTTGGGACTGATAGCAAATTGCGTTAGAACTCGAATATTAATTTTTGGGGCTTTTTAAGTTTCAAAAAAATTCAAAATGTATTCTCTTGCAAAAATAACCCAAAATTAAGTTTGATTTGATACTTTAAAAATTAAAAGGCTTAAGACCAATATTAAAGCTGTAAAATTTTCTTCTTCCTGTTCCCGTTAATATTGATATTGGTGGTGTTAAGATCTTCACGGCCATATCTCCACTTATATGATCAGTGTCAGGAGTAATAAACCTTCCACTGGACTTGCCCGATTTTTTTAATAATTCCACATGTAGTGTCGAGTCAAGAACTTGTTTAACTTGGCCGATAAAGTATTTTGTACTTTTCTTTTCTTCGTACTCAACCACTAACCAGCTGCCTTCTTTTGCCCCAGCTAAAATACTTGCTTCCTCATGGCTGGAAATTTCAGTATTTTTGGAATGTTGTAAGGTTTTTTATGTTTATTAGTGGCAGAACATTACTATTATCGCAAAAATTTTTAGACTCGTCATTTTCCGGCCCATGTTCTTCATCGCTTATAAACATTTCGGAACTATTATACCCTTTTTCAGTGGTAATGGAGGCATTTTTAATGTTTATTAGCGATAACTCTTCACTATCATCAGACAAAGCATCATCTTCTACATTTTTAAGTCTACTCACTTCATCGTCGCAAGAATACTCAGCATGGTCTAGTAGTTTAGGTTGACATATCGGCTGTTTCGGTATACTACCGGATGTAGATGGTATGGATAAATAATTTGCCGGAACACTTTTTCCAGGCTCCACATTAAGCTTCTTAAGTCGACCAACTTTCTTTGTTTGGTCCCCAGACCTCATATCTTTTAACACGTTGACGGACACATGTGAACAGGTGGAGATGCTTTTTGTGACACTATTGCAACTTCACTAAATTTTGCAATATTATAGTAACACTTATATAATATGTTATTTGACTTCTAAAAAAGCTGAATAATATAAAAAAAACAATAACGGCTATAGACGTCACTGTCACATACTAGACATTTTTCTATACATTTGTAACGTAGACGTCCATAGACGTCGGTATAAATAAAACACTAGAATTACGCAAATGTATTTTTTATTTGAAAACTAATGAAAATATCGAATAATAGCTAACGCCATACCACGTGCTGCATTCTGATTACTGACTGAAATACTAAATGCCAGAGGCCCGCAAAGGCGCCCCGCATAAACCGTTATGACGCCATGTTCTAGCTATCCCCACCTCTCACGTTAAATGCACAGAGTCAAATTAGTGTGCTTGATATGACACTTTACCGATTTACGATTCAAATCCGACGTCTGTAGAATTTGTTGCCGAGCTATGGAGGTATTATAAAAGACGTCCACAGACGTCCTTAAATTAAGGTGTCACGGAGCGCACATTGTCAATAACGTCTATAGACGTCATTGTCCGTCAACGGGTTAAAATATTTATTACCACGTCAGAATCTACATTAGTAACATTTGCTAATTCCTGTGATCTAGGTAATCTTTCTTTCGGTCTTGATGGGTCTACAGAATATAGCCCAGTTTTGGAAAATTCTGACACCAAATTGGACGAGCCCTTTTCTCCTGCTTCAAGTTTTTCTTGCAACTTGGATAAAAGGCTGGGAATGCATCTTTTGTTGATGACGGAAATTTACGACCAGCTGTCTTCTTCCAATTGCTTAGAGTGTCTCGCCAATAGTTTTTGAGTGGCGCGTAGAACGCAACGTCCAGCGGTTACATAACGTGTGTTACATTCGGTGGCAGACATATAAACGTAATATTTAATTCCTCGCACTTTTGGAGAACCTTCTCTAAAAATTGCAAGGAGAGGTTATCTCCTATAAGGACCTAAACAAAAATAAGTGGATCTAAAAGTTTGGAAAAACCAGATCCTACCTACCTATTGACCATCTTTATTCCGCAAGAATGGTACAACTACAGTAAAAAATCAATCCTCAAAGCATATACTGTCAAACCAGCCACTCTTAGAACGATTATACCTTGTGCCTGGAGGACCACCGACGGCCCATGAATCCCATAAATGATCAGCCTTGTAAACAACATATATTGAAAGAAGCTGTCCATCGGCTGTTCCCGCATACATCAGGCTAATTGCGGTTTTGGTAACATTAATTATTCTCTCTGGGTATCTGGTGCTCCTCTTATAAATGAATTTTTTAGACGCAGAGTCGTCTGTGAGATTTGTCTCGTCGAAATTAATAATTAGAGAAGGATCTGTCCCAGACAACATTTGGGATGCATTTTCAAAAAATCGATCCAACATATCTTCTGAAAGAGAGGCCCTTTTGGTTGATAAATTAGTCGAAAGGCGATTTGATATTTTATTTTTTTTTTTTTCGTTTGATAAAATTGACAGCCCAGTTTTTCCCCAGCATGTTGGCATTTATTATTCCATCCCGAACTTCTTTCTTATCGAGGTAACGTTTTACCATCATTCTCAAGTCAAATGGGTAGCCACATGAAGCAACCATGTTCAGGTTTTGTACAAAAACATTTTCTTCATCATCGTTAAACAGACTCGGTCTACCCGGGCGTTTTTGCTGCATATTTTGACCAATAAGTTTGCTCCCTAGCGTGGATTTGGGAATACCATACTTTTCGGCTGCGGCTCTAATATTTTGTTTTCGTTTTTTATTTCATCTAGGGATTTCGGTAAATTACTCTACGAATAGAAGTTATTTTTTTTTCCTTTTCGGCAATTACTCATTTTCCTTCGATAGTTTCGCACCATTTTTACAGCCTAGAGGCAAAAAACTCACTATTACCGGTCATATTCATGTTTTTTGCTGCCCCAATTAACCTGCCAACGTCCCAAATAACCCCATTGTTATGTCCAAAATTACCCCACCAAATAAAATAGCCTGTTAAAAATCTAACATGTAATATATCTTTACAGTATTTATGTTGGGTCATCTACAGTCGTCTAACAATTATTTACAACTATCAAAGTTACCTTATCACTAGCAGTCAAATTCCGAGAACAGAAAGTTGGGCACTATCATTTTTTACGTCGATTTTCACCTCACACTTCCATCAGTTAATTCAACGGACTGAAGCGAGTCATCACGTTCGCCCTAAACATGCTACCACGTGGTGCGGCCCACACATTTCCGCACATTTGGGTTAGACGTGCACCTGTTGTTATCTTTTTTCGTTAGATCCCAAAGAGCCCCGCAGTTCCCAATTAACCCCGTTTTACGGTACCTATAATAAGTATTTGAAAGTTGCAATTATTTATTTTTAGTATATTTGGGAAAGCTTATTAGTACATATCGATATTCAACTGGTAAAAAAACTGATGAAAGGTTACAAGAAACACAAGAAACTTTATCCACTATTAAAATCATTAAAATGTACACATGGGAAAGTTTTTTCAGTAATAAAATAAATGCGGCAAGAAAGTAAGTACCTATTATATCAATAATGATCCTCTAAATGTTATTATATATTTTTAAAAATAGACCTTTTAATGTTTTAATTTCTAATATATTAAAAATTATTAAAATGAATACAATTTTGGTTAACTATCCATGTTCATATTGAATATTATACATTTTATCTCTATATTATACAGATAATATTGAATATGAATTATTTGCTTTTTAGAGAAGAGGCCAAGAAAATCCTGATTTCATTTCACTTAAAAATGGTTCAAATTGTGCTAGGTATTCTATTTTCAAAGTTAGGCTTTTATATACTTATTATGGCATACATCCGAATGGGATACAATACAAATACAGCTTTAGTATTTTACATCAGCAACATGTTCAAAGATCTCGAGTACAACTTAGGAGGCCTCATACCGTATGGAATGGGAAGAGCAGCAGAATTGTTCTCAGCAATAAAAAGAATTAACCAAGTTATTTCGGCTGAAGAATTACCTCCGAAAATTGGTTCTGACCAACCAACAAATAACCCTTTCTTAGAATTAAAAGATGCAAGTGTAAAAATCAATAATAATTTCGTCCTCAGTAATGTATCCTTTCGAGTAGATTCTGGACTGATATTGGTTACTGGTAAAGTTGGATCTGGAAAAAGCTCGCTTTTAAAAGCCTTTTTACAAGATTACCCTCTATGTCAAGGTTCAATAATGTCAGATGGTAGAATTTCGTATGCATCTCAAGATCCCTGGTTGTTTCCATCATCTATTAAGCAAAATATAATTTTTGGAGAAAGATTTGATGAAAAAAGGTAAGAAATAATACCGTCAAATGGGGCGAATCGGGACTAAGGGGTGAATCGGGACATTATTAACATAAGCGGTAATCCTGTCTCGAGGTCAATGTTTTCAGCTCGGATAGTAGATAAAAATTAAAGTAGACATGCTGGATCTTGCATATATACCTGCAACCTGTTAGTTAGTGACGAATAGGGTGAAAAACAAGTGCCTTGAAAATCAAGAAAAAAAATCAGTTTTTTATTGCTGTAAAAACTTTATGTGGAAACCCCCTAAGGAATGAAGGTATGGGTCCGAAATTTTTAAATGTCATAGTTTAAAGTGTTTTATAAACACTAAAAAAAAATCAATTTAAAAAAAAAGGGGGGAGATACGATTTTTTAAGCAAAAAATTGATTTTTTAGGGGTGAATCGGGACAATGGTCCGAAAATACAAAAAAGTACCTGGAAGTAGAGGCTATCAAAACTATAGTGAACAAACGTTACAAACGACACTGAGGAGGGCAGATCATCCTGACACAAGAAGAAGAAGAACGACATTTGGTTTAGTTGATAGTATTAGCAGAGGAATGGGGTTATCCTTTTGATAAACTGGATGTTCGTTATGCTGTCAAGGGCTACTTGGACAGTAAAGGCGTAAGAGTAAACAAATTCCAAAATAATATGCCATGATTGGACTGGACAAATACTTTTTTATCGCGACATAAGAATGACTTTACACAGAGGCTGTGTGAAAATATAAAGAGGGCCCGTGCAGGTGTCTCGCACCAAACAGTAAATTCATATTTTGACAATTTGCAAACTCTATTAGAAAATGTAGAAGCCAACTCCATTGTCAACTATGACGAGACTTGCTTCGTTGATGACCCTGGACGAAAAAAAGTGATAGTAAGACGAAAAACACTCGACATCCTGAACGCATCATTGATTCGGCAAAAAGCTCCACATCGGTCATGTTTGCAGGAAGTGGTGGTGGTATTGTACTACCACCATTTATTGTCTATAAAAGTGAGCACATCTATGATACTTGGATGTCAAATGGGCCAAAAAGCGCACGCTACGGCAGAAATTCCAGTGGTTGGTTCGACCAGCCTCTCTTTGAAAACTGGTTCCCTATTTCAAATAGCAACCTGTTCCAAGAGTGTTAATTGGTGATAATTTTTGTAGTCACTCTGTGGCAAAATGACATAAAATTTGAATTTTTACCTCCTTCATCGACCCATCTGACCCAACCGTTGGACGTCGCGATTTTCGCTCCTTTGAAAAAGGTTGGCGACGTGTGCTGGAAGATTGGAAGAAAAAATATAAGGGCCCTATACCAAAGCAATATTTTCCATCATTGCTAAAAAAAAACCTTGATAATTTGGAAACGATGAGTGAAAACATTACAAAGGGATTTTTGGGCACAGGGCTTATTCCACTTGATAGAAATCAAGTTTTAAAGCGACTACCAAAACCCATAGATGAACATCACGACCCCAACCATTGGAGCGCTTCTATGATCGATTTTCTGAATGACACCAGGAATGCCTGTAAACCAACAGTCACGAAAAAGAGAAAGGTTGCTGTAGATCCAGGATATAGCGTATCAAAAGAATAATTTGCTCAAGCTGGCCCATCCTCGCCAAGGATTGAGACTGCGGTCGAAGACTACTTTGATGAGCTTGATGTTGTAAAGGAGGCATTAGATTCTTTATCATCTTCTGATGACGAAGAAGCTGACTTGGTTTTGGAAAATTTAAAAAAGATGATTTTGTTGAGATTCAGTATGAAACAGATGAGCAAGACAAATACTTTATTGGCCTTATCCAGAACGTAGTAGATGACGAGTTAATCACCGTTAAGTTTCTTCGCAAAAAAGAAAATTTTTCATTTCTCCACTCCTTGATAATGTCTGCGTAATAAACAAAGAACAAATTAAAAAATTGTTAGCACAGTTGACAGTTTTGCGAAGAGGTGGCTACGAGTTTACCAAGAAGGATAGCAAAAGAGCTTACTCAAATCAATAAAAACGTTCCTACCTCCCTATTTGTTATCTGCGATTTTTTTGCATTTGTGATTTTTTGTTTCTAAGAGTTTTTTCTTAAGTTTAAAAATGTTTCGTTACATGGGTTAAGATTTTTCTTTGTTGTATGTTAAATAAACGCTGATTTCACGTTATTTTGTCGTTTTTATCCCGTTTTTTTTTCTGCAACTTTTAAAAAAATATATTTTTTGTCCCGATACGCCCCATAACTAGGGTGTATCGGTCATTTCCATCAAAATAAATGGGGTGTCCCGATTGACCCCAAAGTGACAGCTGTGAATGAAGCTCTAACCGGGACCCAACTTTTGGCATTTACTTGGAGCCTCAATCTCATTTAGAAAAAACGTTATTTAGAAAAATATGTCAAAACTGTCACGATTCGCCTCATTTGACGGTATATTATAAAAATTATTACGTATTTTAAAATAAACTCTTAGCATTCATTTAAATAATACACCAATTTATCAACCATTGTAAATTAATTAGTAGACTCTCCTTATTTTTTTTATTTTTTTTTTTTTTTTTATTTGGTGTCATCGGCATCGACTGCTAAGGTCATTAGCCTCGTGTTCTGTGTAGGCATTGTTACTGTTTCCCAGCGCCACTTTAGGAACAGCACTGTTAACTAGAACCCAACAGTGAATGGTCGAGTGGGAAATCCTACCAAGGCATCAGAATTAATTTTAAATAATTAAATTAAATTAAAAAAATCCCGGCCAATGGTGGGATTCGAACCTGGGACCCTTGGACCCACAGGCAGAGACTCTACCACTGAGCCACCCACCCCTTCCCCTTATTTTTTATTGATTTCATTATGATTGACTCTTATTTTCCTAAATATTTGACCACGTTTCATGATAGAAATATGTACAAATATACAATATGTTTCATTTCAAACCCAACCAATCGAAATAACTTTCAATTTTACGTAAATTTAGGAAAATATTAGTTAGTTGTTCAAAAATGACAACAAAACATTCTAGTAAATGTTTTTTTAAGGTACCTTGAAGTAGTAAGAGTATGTGCTCTCGAATATGATTTAAAACTATTTGACAAGGGTGATGAAACGATAGTCTGCGACCGAGGGCTGAATCTAAGCAAAGGACAGCAAGCTAGAATAAATCTAGCAAGAGCTGTATACAAGGAAAGTGAAATATATTTATTGGACGATTCATTGACATCTTTAGATAGTCAGGTTCAAGAATATATCTTCAACGAATGTATAAAAAAGTTTTTAAAAACTAAAATATGTGTATTGGTGACCCAAAATGTTAATCAAATTAATGCTGCCGATAGCGTTGTCATTATGGATGATAGTAACATTAAATCATTTGGTAGCCCTAATGAGAAAATAATAGGCGAAGTTAACAAGGTTTTGACACAAGAAAATAGCGAAAAATCAATTGACGAAGAAGTTCAAATTAAAACTAAGGTTAGTTCTGATGACGAATTTGATAATGAAGAAACTAACTTATTGGAGGAAACTGAACAAACTAACAAGAAGAAAGTGTACGCGGAGTTGATTAGAAAAGGCAAGGTATCATTGGGTATATATAAGGAATATTTATTGTATGGAGGAGGAACTTTTATTTTGCTTTTGAATATGTTTTTCTTTACTTCAGCACAAGGGGCTGATAGTTTTTCCGATTATATTTTGGCTAAATGGTAAGTACATCAAATTTTTAATCATTCAAAAATTAATTTATTAATATATCACAGGGTATTTTGAAAATATTGCAAATAGTTAAGAATTAATGCATTTTTTAATTCGAATTTTTAATTTGTATCATTATTATAACCGGTTATGATTAAGTACGATGGCTTGTAGTTATATTTTATCAAAAAAGTGGTTGCCGTACAGGAATTATTGATCTTATGTAAAAAAATTCAGTCACAAAATACAGGTAACTGTTTATAAACTTTTGGACTAACCATAGTTTTCAGACGGTATAGTTTTGAAACTTAAATGATCGTGTGGAATCGATTGCCATGTTTGAAAATCCACATCGGATGCATTTTTTACATCTCGAGCGTTTTTTTATCCACATCGGACACATCTGTCCCATTACATTTACGCATACTAAATCACGTGATCAAAGACTTACTACATCTCAGATGCATCCGATGTGGATTCTCAAACGCGGCAGATGCCGTACATTTTTCAATGACAGAGGGTACTAAAATAGAGAGTTGCGCACTGGAGTGCATTCTGTTACCGCGCCCGGACGAAAAACTTTTCATCCTTGCCGTTCATAAAAATAGCGCGTTTCGGTCACACTCATGAGTAACAAGTTCTAAATCCTTTGAACGTTTGCCCTGGTACCCTATTCTTAATCTCAGAAGAGTGCTCCTACACTCACTGCTCTATCACCAGTGTTGCCAGATGACCAAAATCAAATTTTTTTCATGATTTTATCGTTCAAACTGACCTTACTAGTGTAACGTTATCTAAGGCTGGTTAATTTTAGAGTTTATAGGGTTAGGGTTGGGGTGATTTGATAATAATTTTATTGAATAAACATAAAAAAAGATAACACTTAACCTTTTCTTGTTTCAAAAATATTTTTTTCTTTTTGTAATCCTTTGATCTTCCATTTGTTTTTGTCTATATATGTTTTTAAAGATGTTAATGTCATTTTATCTGTAGGAGTGAAACTTAAATATCCATTACCCAAAGGATTTCCGGTGATGACCGGTTAAATTTTCTGAAACTTTGGTATTTTATTGTACTCAACCCAGTAACAAAAAATGTCAATAGGCTCAATACAATCCTGTCATTGGTTTTCGATATACAGGGTGTTGAAATTAAAAGTTGCTTATATTTTCGAAATTTTTATTTCCAAAATTACGAGCTAGATTGAATTTTTGTTGCATACACACACACGTTTACTAAATGTTTTATTATTACATTAGTACCTATGTACATGACATTTGTGCAGTGTTTTACGGCAATTGTTTATTTTACATTCAATTTCGGTTTTTTATATTGTCATATTATATATACTTTTTTATTTTTGCTAGGGTAGACAAGCAACATACTGTTCAAGTTCTTAGAAATGCTACACTATCAGATCAAGGAAATATAACCACAAATTCGACACTTAGCAATCTAGAAAGTGAATCTTCATTGACAATCAAGTTATATTCCGGAAGTATATTTTTGTTGGCCTTACTAAACTTGATCAGAACTTTTACGGTATTGGAATTAGGTAGAAGGGCTTCAGTAAATATTCACAAGACAATAATAAAAAAGATTACAAATGCTTGCATGTCATTCTTTGATACGCATTTTTTGGGAAATATATTGAACAGATTTTCGAACGACTTTAGTAATATTGATGAACAAGTGCCATTTGTAATATTTGAGTCGTTAAGAGTAAGTATATCTTTATAGATGCGTCTCCACCAAAAGAATATACAGCATCAAAATAAACTGCATTAAAGTAAGGTATACAGGTTTCGACAAACCTCTGTGGTAGTTTTGTAATAACTACTATTCAAATCATTTTTTTGTTTAAATGAAATGACTCAACATTTTTAGGTACTCTATAGTCACTAGTACTATTTATAAAATATTGTAATAAAATATACAACAACTCACAAATGTAAAATAACTACAAGCCAGCTTTCCTGTTTATGTTGCAGTAAGTTGCCTTGATGGAGACGTATCTTTAGGACCTGTTTTCATAAAAAAATTTAATTGCTTAGCTTAGCCACCCTGTAGTATGAAGTGATTCACAAAAAATGTGTCTACAGTAAGGATGATAAAATCATGCATCACGCAACAATCTGAATTTAATTCAGAGACGTACTTAGTTAATGCGGATTGCTTTCTTTGCCTACTTTAGAAACATTTTGGATCAATCGTAATTTATTTAAAACATTCTACAGTATCTGCTATTGAACGCTTTTCAATACGCTTTACTAATGTCAAAGAGAAAACTACAGCGAGTTAATTAGGGCGAGCAGGAAACGAAAACGTAGCCTGCCGGACCCGTAAGTATCTCTCTTGTTGCATGCCTATTCACATCACACAACGGAAACAGCAACGTTGAAATTATTCGTTTCCTGCTCGACAATTGCTGTCTGTAGTTTTCACTTTGACATAGCAAAGCGTTTTGGAAAGTGTTCCATAGCCGATACTGTATAAGTTGAGACTAGTATCAGCAGGACATTCTGAAACTGAAATAAGATTTCAAAAATTTGTTTTTTATCAAATACTGAAAAAATTACTACCTGATATATTGGCACCTGGCACAAGATAACACTGGTAAACAAAAATCCACTTGTTTTTTGTGACATGAACAAAACAAAGTGTTTATTATGTAAAAATTGCCACAAAAGCAGAAAATAGCTACAGATTTCTTCTATCACCTATAGTTTTTTTGCTATGAGGTATTTTTGTTTTTTAAGAATTAATTTAGAATTATTTTATTAACCAAAGAGTACTTTAAAATGTTACTGTTAAAATGTTTCGGCGATATTTTGTTTTTGGAGTATCCCTTAACAATGTCCAGCAGTAATCGGCAAGCAAACTGGCACTCCACTTGCCTTGGTACCGTTTTTCCATAGCAGAAATGTCTTGGTGGAACCGTTCCCCATGTTCGTCACTTACCGCCCCTAAATTTTCGGGGAAGAAATCCAGATGGGAGTCCAGAAAGTGAATTTTAAGGGACATGTTACAACCCATTTCTTTATAGGCAGTAAGTAGTTCAGTCACAAGATCTTTGTAATTGTCAGCTTTTACATTTCCAAGAAAATTTGCAACAACGCTTTTAAAAGCACTCCAGGCTCGTAGTTCAGTTTCATTGAGCATTTCCTCAAATGTTTTATCTTTCATTACTTCTCTTATTTGCGGACCCACAAATATGTCCTCCTTAATTTTTGCATCATTGATTCTTGGAAATTTTTGTTTCAGATACAAGAACCCTCTTTCATTTCTGTCCATTGCCTTAACAAACTTCCTCATTAAACCCAATTTAATATGCAAAGGTGGTAGTAATACCTTTTTGGGATCAACTAGAGGTTCATTGGTAACGTTTTTTTTTTTTCGGAGTTAGTACCTGACGTACTGGCCACTGCTTTTGTACATAATGACGGTCTCTCGCACGGCTGTCCTATTCGCAAAAGAAGCAACAATATTTCGTATATCCTAGTTGCATTCCAAGAAGAAGGGCTATTACTTTTAGGTCTCCACATATTGCCCAACCATACTCATGATAACGGATGTGCTCTAAAAGAACTCTCATATTCTCATATGATTCCTCCATATGAACCGCATGAGCTAAGGGCACAGATGGATATTCGTTACCGTTATAAACCAATACCGCCTTTAAACTAAGTTTGAAGGAATCAATGAATAGACGCCAATCACGTGGATCATGTTTCTGTCCTAGTGTGTTGAACAAAAGGTTAACTTCTGAACAGTATACTAGATCCCCTTCTTGAAGAAAGCAATTTGTGAGTTCTTTCTGCCTTTTTCTGTAAAAAGTAATCTTTACATCACTTTGGAAAAGATTCCAACCGTTTAGTCTTGGATGCTAAAAGTTCGGACTGCGATTTTGAAAGGCTTAGATCTCGAACTAAGTCATTAAGTTCACCCTGTGAAATTAGATACGGCGCTGTTGAACATCCTGGTAAATCAAATACAGGATTGGTTGTCATTTCCTTTGCGGTTTCTGTAACATCACTTAAAGAACCAGTCGATTCTATTTCTTCATCGAGACTCCAAGATTCTGGTGCTTTTGGAATAGGAAGTTATTCACTGTGTTTGACAGGTCTTAAAGCTGATGGTAAATTACAGTACTTAACCGTATGTTTAGACTTCGGTTCAATACCTTTAATATTCGTGAGGCAAAAATAGCAATCTGTAACATGGTCTTCAGGTTCTCTCCAAACTATTGGCACTGCGAAGGGCATTTTACGATTTAAACCTTTTAACCAAGCTGTTAACAATGTTACACAAGTTTTACAACAGATATGAGGGGCCGATGCTTTGTCTTGGACCCAACTTTAACACCAAAATACAGTTCGTAAGCTTTTAGCACAAGCGGAGTAAAATTACGTTTTTGCGATTTAAAAGTTATTTCTCCGCACACATAACAAAAACTGTTGGTACTATTTTTACGCACTGCTTAGGCATTGTACCGGTCTGAACCGGATAGATCCCTGATCATATGAAAATGTGAGATGATGCAATATAATGAAATTTTACGTATTATAAAATCTAAAGCCGCAGGTTACAGAATATCTGTGGGTGATAGAAAAATTCTGTTTTCTAATTTGAGTTTAGGGTATCAAACTGCATTAGAAGCACCTAAAAAATTTCATGTCATAAATTATGTGTCTATCAGTGTAATCATTAAAATTAAAAAATATGTTTTAGGTAACCTTTGAACTTGGTGGCATCTTGTTTATAATAGTAAACATTAGGAAATATTTTATAGTATATGCAATTGTGTTATTTTCGGTCCTTTTGATTTTAAGGCGACTGTATTTACCAACTGGTAGAAGTTTAAAACGATTAGAAGCAACAAGTAAGATTTTACAATTTTATTATTCATTCAGTACTTTTCAAATAGTTACCACGTATTTAAATTTGTTTGTTATTAAAAGTAATAATAACACTATTCTTGAAACCATTGTACGTGTAAAATAGAGTGGAATTTACCTTTTGGGAAGTACATGTACAATATACAATAGTTTAATAATTAGAATAGTATAGGCAAGGGCGGCTACACGGAAGGGAGGCCAAGGGGCCATGCCCCCCAAAGTTGATGTTCTTACAATCCATGAGCCTTTTATTAAAAAAATATGCTGAAAAGGAAATTGTTATTGCCAATGCCCCCCCCCCCCCCCCCTTTCACTTTAATAGTATTTGAAGTAGATGATAATAGGTGAAATTTGACTCGAGGGGATCTTACCTTTTAAAGCGTAATCCCAAATTACACACTGAAAGGTCAATTAATGAGGAGAGTCCGAGTTGGGTCCTAATCCGAGCAGGTATGTTTACGGACGGTTCTATTACAAATAGGTACGCACTACGGCCTAATTGGTTCCCTAAAATATTAAGATAATTCAATTTTAATACAACATCGTTGTCCCTTAGGATAGACATTTTTTCTAAATTTGATGGTAATCAGGTAATAAATTTGGGGGAAGGTATTTAATCTATTTTTATTATTGTTAATATAAGGTGTACCCCATCGTTATTAAGTTTATTTGCTATTAAAATTTGTTAGTTGTTTAGTTGCCTTGTTAGTGAGAGAAGGTACGTTAAAAAATGTTACCTAATTTCAAGGGAAAAAGGAAAATTGCTGTTACTGATTAACGGGTACAAATTTTGCTTCCAAAAAGACTTGAAAGATGGTGTAAAAAGGTGGAGATGTACATGCAAAGCCTTTGTAAAAACAATTGGAGAAAACCTCATCATCGAGGCAGCATTGGAACATAATCATGAAAAACAAGCAAATCATCTCTTAAGTCGCCAACTTTTGTCTCACTCCGTCAAGAGAGCTGTTGTGGATAATCCTAAAAAGAAACCTATGAAGCTAATACTTCAAGAATAATATAAATCTGATCTTAAATCAGTAACAACACGTAACATTACCAGAGCAAGAATAAATGCTTATCACGCCAGAACATCGATTTTGTATAAACTTCCCAAACACGTTCAAGAGTTTCAAGAAGTGGTAGAAGCCAACGCAGTAAAGACAAACGAATATACATAGAACCTTTGAATATTGTCCAAAAATGTTTTAAACCTTTTTACAATCAACGGTTTAAATAATGGCCATTACATTCCATTAGTATTTTGCCTATTACGTAATAAGTCGCAAAGCACCTACAAATTAATCTTTAAATTAAAAAAAAAATACTTTATGTTCCCAAATACCTACCATACTTCTATCCAGGAAACATTACTGTAGATTTTAAATATGCTATTCATTCTGCTATTACACAAGTATTTCCTCTCTCTAAAATAAAATGATGTACATTCCACTTATGACAAGCCATGGTCACAGTTTATAGCTAAAGAATCAGTTCGGACCGACTGGATGTTCTAAAATAACATCCACTCCAGGGATATAAATTCAGAAGGACTACTGTTATCACGTATTGTATTTGATTATAGTAAGAGAGCACACTGCAAATTTCGACCGTCATCGAAATGAAATATGCTCCAAAGGCATGTAACAACATTGTACTTTACCAAATTGCACATGTGCCAATCCCTATCCTGAGCAAAGTAGTTAAAAAAATGTATTTAATATTCCAAAAATCACATAAGATATGACAGCGACAATTGTGCTTTCCCTGAAAATTACAATCCTAATTCATTGTGAACCTAGTTTTAAACCTGAATTATTAATATTTTTTCCTACCGTTTAAACCATGTGTATGTATAAACCATTTCCAGAGATAGTCAATAATAATTATGAACTTTTGTTAGACAATTCTTTTTTAGTATATTGTGTCACAAGGGCATAAAATGAGCTTTAGCAGCCCACGGCTATTAGCTGCATGAGCGAGCAAAGCGAAGCGAGGACAGCTGATAGCTGAGGGCTGCTAAAGCGTTTTTCACCTACCATATGTGAAAATGAATCATATCAACCCTAAAAATATGGCCGAAAGTAACGTATATCGTCTCATGGATTCCTCTTGCAAGTTTAATGGAGTATTTGTAAATTCTTCGTCACTGTCTAAATGACTGTTCATGTTCACTAATAGACTAATACACTGACGTTTAATCAAAATTTATGTGAAACATCAAAATACGCAAGTGATAGTCAAAGGTATCTAGATATCTAGTGAATAACTACCATGGTATACATGGTGTAAGGATACAGGTGAAGCGGTGCGCAGGTTTTATGACGTCAACATCGGTATTGCCACGGCCGCCTATACACTGCCATGCCATTCCATGGCTTTGTTTACATTTTGTAATGATTGTCAAGAAGTTTAACTTTTATTTCCTAGTTCTATAATCATTATAAAACTGAAAATATATTTAGAAGAAAATAACAACTGCGTCAAATAACATCAAGTTATGCTCAATAATACTTACAAGAAAAGTCACTATAGGCAGATAGACGCTTGTACAAAAGTAATGCCAAATAAAAAAAATATTTTGTGCTTTTATACAAAAAAAGTAGGTAATTTATTTCGAATTTAGCCATGGTGTAAGGAATTTAGCCTAATATAGTTTCTCTCTGGCGTAAAAAAGATAGTGTTCATCAGAAACTGAATTTTTCCATCACAAAACTTGGAAGAGGATGTTACATCTAGGATTTAAATCTTCATACCTAGCATTGCTATCTGATAGATTGAGATCAAGATGATAGCCAAAACGTACCTAAACTTACAGAGACATTACCATTAAAAAGTTTTAGTGGCTCAGCAGGGATAAAAATTGGAACTAATAAAAGGCATACACAAATAACTAATTTAAATGTGAAACTGAAATATGTAGTGTACCCTGTATATTGGAAAAATGTTTAACCTCTTGCCAATTAATTAATAATAGGAAGTGCTGACTCATTAAATATGTTTAAAATGCAAGAAACTCTTGCTCAAAAAGGTATACTACAAAGTGGATAAATTTTTCTGATTCCTTGAATTAAGTAGTTCATTTTAATTTATGTGTATACTCCTGTATATATATTTCTCGATTGTCATATTTGTACTTAGGTTGTGCATTTTTGTTTTTATATTATATTTTGTCTTGATATTAGAATTTAAAAAATTTTAAAATAAAAAATTTCATTTATGAATAAGTATTTTGTTTGTTTCTTTTCCTTTGAATTTTAACTTATTTTATCTATCTTTGTTAATAAGAATGTAATTAATTCTTTAACAATAAATAATTTTGAATCGATTCAAGTAAACTTGTGTATAATGTTAACGAATGCTGAACAATAAAATTAAGGTGAAATGAATTTTATTATGATCAGTATATTTTTTTAGTCGCCAATTTTCTTAAATAATCAGTTTGGAAGTATGTGGTCACTTTTATAGATTATAAATGTAATAATTTAATTTTAAATTAGTCATCAAACATGGATATCAATAACTTGTATGCACAGATCAATTACTTTCTTGTATGGTTGGGTGCTGGTAAACCCCTTTATGTATTTAATAAATAGAAACACTTGGCAAAACATACTTTATTTTAATAAAAAGCACAGAGGTGTTATTTTAAATTGATTTATTTATGTTTAAAAATGGTTTATACATAATGTTTACTTCTTTATCTTGCTTAACACTTTATAATGTATATTTATTGTTCTAAATTTAAACATTTAGGCCAGTCTCTTAAGGTAGTAAACCCAGGTAAAGGATAATGAACAGTTCTTAAAATCTATAAGCCTTAGGACGAATGCTTCTTAGGGAGATTGTGGATGCTATGTCATCCGAACTTCAACGAATTCTTTTTTTATTTTCATTGTATAAAACATTTATTTGACCCGGAGTGAAACATTTACTTTACTTTCCTGAATTTCCACTTGAGAATTATTTTTCAACTGGCTAATTTCTTCTTTCAATGAAAGTATTTCTATATTTGATTTGTTGCATTTTTCAGTAATTTTGTTTAGTTCTTCACGAAGACTCTTAATAGTTTTCTCTAAAATAATAATTTAATTTTTAATATTGAAATAAAAGCAATTATCACTTCAAAGTGTAATATTTAATAAAAAAATTGTTTTGAAATGATTGTAATGTTAATTAGTATATGCTAAGTTGTGTAATTTTCTTTTCAAAGCCACATTTTTTGTTAATAAGGTAAATTTGTACATACGTTTCTAGTTCTGATGATACCAATATATTTTGAGTGTCTGTTTCCAAACTTTGATTCTCCTTGTCCTGGTCTGCAGTTGACAATTGTCTTTTTTTCAATGGGAGATTTTCAGTAGGAACTGCTGTTTGTTTTAAGTTTCTACCAGTCTTAGTGGAGTAGTTTAATAGCCTCTGTTGTAAGGGTATTTCAAAACTATCCTTCGAAAAATGTATGGAACAAATACAAGCTTAAAAAAGAAACAAGACATAAAATTAATCATATTCAAGTTAGGTTTGCAAAAATCATACCATTTTTCAAATTAATTGTATCTTTTCACCCTCAACCGTTGACCCAGGCTTTGGCTATATCTGTTTTCGGAAATCCAAAATACTTAATATTTGTTCTCTTTGTTTTTCTTAAATAGTTCTTGCTGCCAAACACTGCACAACCTGGCATTTTGTTAGTAACTACACACCCTAAAATATAGTAGATTTTAATGTATCAATAATATAATAATAATAATGATATATTAAAATAACAATAATGAATATAAACTATTTCTTTTATCTTTAAAATACAACAAAAATGTTACATAACCTAACTTTATATCAATTACACTACCAACTTAATTAGAAATTAATTTAATAATACGTACCTACCAATAATTTCTAAACAGGCCTATTGATATATAGAAATGATATTAAATATTAAGATAAATATATCTATAAACTTCTAAACACTACCAGGAAAATATTAGAATAACTTTAAAAGTCGCTTTTTAACATTGGAGACATAGGCAAAACAAAAATATGCTCCGCAGGTGACGTCATGCGCAAGAATGACCAAATTTCGTACCGCTTACCGCTTCACCTGTATTCTTCCACCATGATGGTATATAACTACAAAATCGGGCTGTTATGAGTTTAGCAGCCCATGGGACGATATACGTTGCTTTCGGTCATATTTTTAGAGTTGATATGATTCATTTTCACATATGGTAGGCGAAAAAACCATAATCATAGTAGTTTTTTTGTCGTTTCTGTGGCAATCTGTAAAAATGAATCAATCACAACAATAGGCATATAAACAAATTTTTCAATCAGCAAAAATGTATTCTTTTTTTTTACTCATTTTTAGCTACTAATTGTGGATAGATGTTTTTATGCGATGTTAAGAGGAAGAAAATGTTTCCTTTTAACGATATATATCAAGATATATTTGAAAACTCTAAGGGCAAACAAAATTAGCGCTGTCATGCCTTATGTGATTTTTTTAATATAAAATAATTTTTTTTTAATCACTTTGCTCAGGATTGGGGATGACACAGGTGCCATTTGGTAAAGTACAATGTTTTTTAATGCTTTTTGGGGTATATTTCATTGGACTATTATGATTTGATTCTGTATGCGCCAGGGATACAAATCCGAGTTGCGCAATGTATAAACTAAAACATTGAGATCAAAAGTGCCGACGCAGAGTGAGCGAACTGATTCTTTAGCTATAAACTGTGCCATGATTTAGGAAAATATAACAGTTTGGTTTGCATGCGAATATAAAAAACAAAATTAAGCATCAGAAATAACTAAATATTTAACATATATTTTTAAGATAGCAATTTTACCCGCAGAAGATGTAGGTGATTGTTTTGGTATTGATTTTACCTCAAAATGAGATAGTTATTAGGTTTTCTGATTATTTAGTAGATAATTACATTGATGAAAATTCCAAGTTTCCATTAATGCTTACAAGTCTTTTCATAACCAATTTAATTCATCATTTTATTCAGCCCGACCTTCACCAAAGTATGAAAGTGTTTTTGTGGAATCCTATGTAAAAATAAATAGTTTTCCAACGTTATAAAAGTAGAGAGCCCAAAAAACTAAATTAAAAACGCAGTTTATTTTATTTTAAATTTCACCACCATCCATTGTTCGTTTACCGTCATCGCAACTGTTTACACGAAGCATAGAAACAGTGTTGCCAGACGTAGCGGAATTCCGCTATTCGTAGCGCAATTTTATCAAGGTAGGGGCGGTAGCTCAAACGGAATTTGAAAAGAAATCTGCATCAGTACAAAAAATAATAAATCTTGTAGAAATTGTATAAACATTCTTTGTACCGTATATTATAAGGACGAGTTCAGTCAAATAACGTAAAAAATAGGTAACTTTTATGTTAGCGACATCCTGTGCCTTTTTTGATATCGTCCCAGTAAACATTTTGTGCAGGGTAATAAAAGGCCCAATAACGGTTATCCTCCAATTGCAATGATGGCTCTTTAACTTTTATAATTAAAAAGCCTGCATATATAGGTCACTACGGCCTACAGTTGGGCCAAAGTCTCTTAGCCATTAATCCAGTTAATAGGCCTCCATTTTCCATTTAATGTTTAAAAAAAATATATTGCCAAATATTGGCCTATTGATGGAAAGTTAACGGGAAATAGTTGTCCTTTTACCATATTAATACTGACTGCTCAATAAAAACTATGTGTCAGGCACATGATCAGACAGTATATTCGATAGTGCCTCTTTAACCAGTAGTACCGTTTGGACTATAAATTCTATACAAAAACCGAATGCATTTCAATATAGAATATTGTAGACATTTTATTTAATTCAGAGCTATATAATATAATAATACAGAAAAAATTTCTTCAAAAAAATTATTCATAAAATATTCTAAATTAATATGTAAAAGTAAAAAAAATACAAGGAATACTGAATAGTGAATACCAGCAATGCGAGACTGGCCTCATAGTACATGTCCATTCGTTGAGTATGTAACAAGCGATCATCTGTATCTCCAGCTATGAACTCGGGACGGAGCTCTCCTGGACTGTTGGAGTTGGGTCTGCGGCAGTTAAAAGCATTTTGACTTTTACCATACTTTTACCCAATACAGTTATTTGCCCTTCATAAGGCCATCATCAAGCAACATAACGCTGGGCCACTATCGAAATGCCAAAAATTAGGCTTTTAACTTTTAATCGTCGCATTCATTTTCCATTCAATTACAGCAAAAGGCCAGCAATATCCCGGCAATTTATTGTTTGTTGGGGTTAAGATGAAATTAGATTAAAATCACGGAACGTATAATATTTCTTCCGTGTTAAGATTTGACTTATTTTTTTTAATTTTTCGTCGTTCCACCAATTCACTTGTCACAAAAATGTTAAAAAAACTAATAAACTCAAACCCACTTTGGTTCTGTGAACATAAAACAAGCAAAATGTGACATATGACATGTTATATGACAAGGGACAGTAGTGCATAGCGGAACGTAGCGGAATTTTTCAATTTTTGTAGCGAATTTTTTCAATGACACCCCTGGCAACACTGCATAGAAACGTATATGGAAACGTATGATTAATTCTTAATCAAATGAAACTGTTTGATGACGGTGAGCACGGCCAGTGAGTAGATCATGCAATTATATAGTACCTAAGTAAATTAACAAGAGTAAATATTCAGAATACTTTAGCAGAGCGTAATATCACTCTGACATTTGTTTCTTAGATTGTCAGTGATGACAAAGTTAAATAATTTTCTATCAATATTTTGTTTATATGAAATATATGATCATCTTCGTTATGTCAATGTACCAGATTATTTTCTTTTTAACTTTAACATGCTGTATTTTAAAAATCCGCTGTAGAATTTGTTCTCTTAGTTCGGAAACACCTCGTATTTCAAACATTATGTTTATTTTTAGCCAGAAGTCCCATGGTTGGACATATTAATTCTTCTTTAGAGGGCTTGACAACAATCAGAGCTTATAAAATGGAAAAACAATTGATAGACGAATTTGATAGACATCAAGACTTGTTCACATCAGCACATTATATGTGGCAATGCACCACATCTGCATTTGGCTGTGCTATGGATTTCTTCTGTGCCATTTTTATATGTTGCATAGTTTTGTCTCTAGTCTTATTTGACACAGGTAAGTCAAGATTTTAAAGCTGATGTGTCGTTCTCGGTGCCTCACCCTGTATAATTTTAATGTTTTGTCAATGGATACTGAAAAGCCTATTGATAATGGAACTGCAAAACTCAAACAACTCTATTTAATTCTTTATATATGTGGTTACCAAATTGTATACCTCATATTTCAAAAACTGGTCATAGCAAACATATAAAACCTGTTTACATAATTTAATTCAGTCTTTTAGCTTATTAACCTAATAGCATAACTTTGTTTTTCTTCATTTTCAGATATCAGCGCCGGAGATGTTGGCCTAGCAATTTCCCAGGTAATAGCCCTTTCTGGTGAAGTAGAATGGGGTGTACGTCAATGGGCAGATCTTGAAAGTCTAATGACGTCTGTGGAACGCCTTTTAGAGTATACTCAGATAAAAACAGAACCTAAAGAAGGAAAAGAAATTGCAAATTGGCCAGAAAAAGGAGCGATTAACTATGAAAATGTTTCATTGACTTATAATGATAATGAAATGGTTTTAAAAAATTTAAACTTTAAAGTAAAACCGAACGAGAAGATCGGAATAGTTGGTAGAACCGGTGCTGGAAAATCCTCAATAATATCATCAATTTTTCGATTATATGAAGTCGAAGGAAACATTTTTATTGATGGGATAAATATTAAGGTTCTCGCTTTGGACTTTCTTAGAAAAAAATTGGCTATTATACCACAAGATCCCGTTCTATTTTCGGGAACTATCAGAACAAATTTAGATCCATTCCAAGAATTTTCTGACGAAGAATTATGGCAAGCTCTTGATAAAGTTAATGTTAAAGGGATAATTTCTGATTTAAACCAGAATGTGAAAAGTCATGTTTCAACATTCAGTTCTGGTCAGAGACAACTAATTTCTGTAGCTAGAGCAATTTTACGTAAAAGTAAAATACTTATCCTAGACGAGGCTACTGCTAACATGGATACGGAAACAGATGCAATGCTTCACAAAATTATTAACGAAAATTTTACAGATTGTTCAGTGATTACTATTGCCCATAGGTTGGAGACGATTTTGCACAATGATAGGGTCATGGTGTTAGATAGAGGGGAAATAAAGGAGTTTGACAAACCTGTGATACTATTGAAAAATAAAAATGGAATATTTTATAAGTTAGTTGAACAAGGTGGATTACTTAATTATTTAAGTTGACAAATTAATGACAAATTTTTTTAAATATATTTGTGTTTTATTTATTATTATAAAAAACGAGACAAGAAATTTGGATGACATGTGAATTTTCTTCGCTATTCTAAAATATTACATGTCCTAAAAAATTCTACACCAGTTTTAATTTTTTTTTATTTGAGTTTGCTCTAGTGTATTATTGATCAAATTTTTTTCTGAATCAGCATTTAAAATTGCACACTGCTCTAGTCTCGTTAAGTTTTTCATTATCTTCTTCATATCTTCTTCCTTTTTGATGCATTTTCGTTTTTGAACTAAAAAGTTGAAGAAACATTAATGATGATCAAAAATAATGATAATATAATGGAAGTTGGCTGTGAAATTTAAATGTTTTTAGTTGATACTTTAGCTACTTCCACAGAATTATATTTTAATCTAGAAACTAAAACTGAAAAAGGCATATAATAATTATTCTACAAATAAAAATATCAACTTGCTCTACTCACGCATTCAAGAAGTGCATATTATCTATCTCCAGACACAGTACAAGCTAAATATATTGGCTGCAAGAACCTCTAAACCATCACGTAGACACCTAGTACGAACAAACCACCTTCCTTCATACATATTACCTCCCATATTGCAGCATTTCTTTCTCTCTCAATTAACAAAGCTAATATAAATTTCACTCTCGTTGATGCTAGACCACTTGTTGGACACGCCCTCAAAATACAAGAAATGACGAGTTCCCCTCTCCTCATCGCCGGCAGCGATGCAGTTTTCTTTCCTTTTTGCTACAAACTCGTTAAACACTCCGAACCAGTGTTTCTCAAACTTTTTTGGCGAGGGAACCTTTTTGAAAAGCGAAAAAAGTCCTCAAGCAAAATCATATCCTCCTTCTTCTTAAAAAAAACGGTCCTCAAGTCAGGTCCCTCCCTGCTTCCTTTTTTTTTTCGCGGAGCACACTTTGAGTAACACTGCTTAAACCATAGAGGAAGGATGTAAATTAGAACTCAACTGTGAATGGTCGAGTGGGGAATCTTACCTATGCATTAGAATTCATATATAATTTACTAAATTACCTAAATAAAAATCTTGTCACCGATGGGATTCGAACCTGAGATCATTTGAACTTAAAGTCATGAATAACCCCCTTTAATTTGTTTTTTTTTTTAATTTTGTGTCATCGACGTCGACTACTAAGGCCATTAGCTTCGTGTTATGTGTAGGCTTTGTTACTGTTTCCCAGCGCCACTTTAGGAACAGCATTGTTCATTAAAACCCAACAGTGAATGGTCGAGTGGGGAATCCTACCAAGGCATCAGAATTAATTTTAAATAATTAAATTAAATTAAAAAATCCCTGCCAACGCGCAACGGTGGGATTCGAACCTGGGACCCTTGGATCCACAGGCAGAGACTCTACCACTGAGCCATTATAGTGTAAATTTGTTTAAATTTGCATTGTAAGTGTTTAATCTTATGTTTTGTTTGTATTTTTTAAAAAAGGCATGTCTCATATATGTGTTAGTAACTTGTGGGTCTTATGGGTCATTCAGGTAAAAACCATTATGAGACAAATAAGAAGAAACAGAAGAAGAGCGGAAATTTTTTCAAAATAAATACTTTGCGAAGGTTTACAAAAAATTTAATGTTTCTGCTACCTAAGTTTTGTTATTATTGGTATTTCCTGAAAATTTCCCAAAAATCGGACTAAAAATAAAGGCTTAGGATGACTTATAGATTTTCGAGGTGATGGTGGTGGTGGTGGTGGTGGTGGTGGTGGTGGTGGTGGTGGTTTGGTTTGCTCTTAATAGACAACTGGTAGTCACCTCTGCAATACAAGTTTAGAGCATTTACTATGATGACCTACCTCTATGTTCTATTTTTTTTAATACGGTTTGAAAGTAATACAACTTCTACAGCCCTAATACAAATTTCTTATCAATTTAATTTTAATAAAAAAAAAGAATAATAATTATATACACGAAGAGTAAAACAAAATTTATATATCTAGTCCCTTGCACTTTGACTATTTAATTCAAGCAAGTCATTTACAATTATCTCTCAATTACTCGATAAATTCTTAGTAATTTCTCAACAACTTCTTGGCAAATCTCCTAATTCATCTGTAATTCCATGCCAATTCCTACAATTCCATGCCAATTCCTACAATTCTCTGCCAATTCCTACAATGTCCTCTTAATTCCTCCTAATTCCTCTAAAAGCCTCTCAATTCCCCTCAATTTCTCTCAATTCCTCTCAATTCCTCTCAAGTCCTTTCAATTCCTCTTAATTCCTGTCAATTCCTCTCAATTCCTCTCAATTCCTCTCAATTTCTCTTAATTCCTCTCAATTCCTCTCAATTCCTCTAAATTAATCTAAATTCATCTCAATTCATCTCAATTCATCTCAATTCCTCTCAATTCATCTCAATCCCTCTCAATTCATCTCAAGTCCTCTTCTATCAGCTTGTAACTGCTTGTAACTGCTTGTAACTGCTTGTATCAGCTTGTAACTATATTTGTTGAACTACATTCTTAAAAATCTATCTATTGTTGTCTTTATAAACACGTTTATACAGACATCGTTGTACTTACCATGATTAGTTATTTTCTTACAAAGACCTAAGTTGTTCAAGTCTGGTTTTTCAGGAAAAAATTCACATAAAACTGGAAATTTTCTTTTACAGTCAACAACTCTCCACATTTTATTATCATCTAGGACAACGCAGTTATGTCCATCTGTATCTGATAAAGGATGTCCTGGTGCCCAAGATCTAAAACAAGATAACGTAAGTACGAATAATACACTTCCTTGCGAGTAAACCCCTGTAGTTCTAAAAGAAGAGCCTGTTTTAGGGATGGACGCTGAACAGCTATCTATACTCAAAAAGGCAAAGAGTAAAGTTCAGTACCATTTTCTCTTCTATTTGTCAACCGATTTTCTTTTTTTTTTTTTTTTTTTTTAGTTTTGTAATTAGTAGCTATTGACAAGCTTCAAATGTAGGTGGGGGTGAAACATTTCTTCATAATTTGAGTATTTTGAGATATGTATTGTATAGATAATTAAAAAATTATAAAAATGAATTCGTAGTCTGTCCAATCATGGGTTTAACCCAAATTGATTTACTGGATTTAGGAAACAGGGGTTAAACTATTAAATTTCTTAGATTTCAGTTTCGTGCAAATTTCACTAAATATTTTGACGAAAGTAGTCTTCAATCTAAATAAAGACTACTATTAACCATAGACAAAAACTTACCTGGAGAAAAGGGCATGGTTGAATTCGTTCTCATCTCCGAATTTTATTAATTATCGCTGCTTAAATTTTTTTTATTATTAACTGTTCTTGTGTGTTAAATGTCTCTAGTGCACTATGCACTATTTTAAAGGCTTGATATACTTTTCTCTAATTATAAAATATAAAAAATAAATATGTTTCTATCTTTTTCTCTTACTTGAACAGTGACTTTGATCAATACAATCACCAGCTCTCTTCCAATAACTAAACGTACTAGTAATAACAATAGAAAAACAGAAAATATCTTACCTAAAGTTACTACAACTTAATGGAAAATCCAATGAATTAACAAATTGTCCTTCTTGGTCTATGTCGTTTAATCCTACGTAAGCAACTTTATACCAATCAGTTAGAGTTTCATTAATTATCGTAGAAAGATATCTTGTTCTAATTTCCGAAGAAACATCAGCTAAATCGGCACCTATTTTTTGACAAAGATCAATGGAACTGATATAATTTTGCCTTTGAGAAATAGTACTGAATAGTCCAGTATTTTTTATGCAAGTACCATTTTGAGTGGCTACAAGTGAATTACAAGATTTGTTAAATTAGACCGAACAAATTAAGGATAAGGCTTCAATAGAAAACAATTAAAAATAGATAATTTTCAATCATGTGTATAAAAATATAAGCAATTGATTAAACTGATTATTTACCCGCATCTAAGGTGTTTAATATAAGGTGAGGATGTATGTGTTGGAATTAATTCGATATTGTTCTATCTAACAAAATGCTTTCACTTTCAAATAAAGCAAAGTAAGAATGAATCTATCCATTCTGAAGATTTGGTGAATATAATTTACCAGAAATAAGATACTCTGTTTTATGAGATGAACGTACCTTGCTAACGTTCTATTATGAATGTACGAAACGTCACATACTGTAAGAGAAATTCGAAGTATATGACGAAACGTACTCTTAGAATGGTAGTACTTGCTGTCATACATCAGTCAACAAATGATACTTGCTGAACATATGTCATCTCAGCAGGTCAGCAGTGTCATTCAAGATTGGTCCGGGCATCACTCCTGCACCCAGTGTCACCCTAACCACAGGGCTAAATGGGCTAAAGCCCTGGGGCGCCAGCCTTTTAGGGGTCGAGTGGGGAATCCTACCTATGCATTAGAATTGGAGCTCTTCCAGATAACGATTTCGTCCATAACTGCAGCTTTCATAATGGATGGAGACGGATATTTATCGTACGGTCGATATGAAAATAGCCGAGTCAACGACTGTATTGTACGGTACCGTACCGTCGCCGACTATCAGTTGCCTATGTAACTTTATGCAGGCTTTCATATAATGCTACAAAAATGTAAATTTCATGTTTAAATAATTGATTTGTTACTGTGTATAAAATGTTTGTACATTTCATGTTTTTAGTTACTAACACTCATAACGACCGATTTATCATTGTGCATTAAATTTCGTACAACTTGGCATCACTGCGGATCAATGTTCATCCCTTCATCGGAAGTTGTGTCTAGTTCAAGAAGCTTGTAACATACGTTGTACAGTAATCCTTACGTATTTCGTCATGAATATATAAATACATTACTAATACATTTTTTCACTGGTCTACAAGTTATTTGACCCACATATATACCAAATTAAAGAAAACGCTCGTTGAATAATCTTAGCAAATACAACTCGTGTACCTAATAATTCTCAAAATCGAGGAAATGTTATTTCGATAATCTTTATTTTACATACTTATATAATTTATCTTTGATAATAACGATTCTTTCA